CCGGTGAGAAAAATCTGAGTATAACTGACGGAAAAAAATCCGACGATTCCTTTGAATCGACGATATAAAAAATTGATCTGAGATTCAAATTCCGGTGATAAACGCGAAGAAGATGGATGATGAGTTGTTGGAATTGCAGCGTCAGTTCGAGTTTGCTCAACAGGTGAAGTCAAGCGTGAGATTATCGGATCGAAATGTCGTCGAGTTGGTTCAGAAGCTTCAGGAGCTTGGCGTTATAGACTTCGATCTGCTTCATACCGTCACCGGAAAGGAATACATCACTCAGGTACTGATTCAATTTTCGTTTTCGGTGTGAATTTAGACTCTTCGAGAATCTACAAATGCATGATGTGAGTAATGTGTTGGTGGAGTGAGAAACTGATAAATCTGCTTGTTGCATGAGGAATTGAATCGGAAAATGAAGTTAAATTTCTTGATCGAGGTTTTTGCTGAATGCTGCGAAGGTTTTGGTGCAGATGATTGTTGTTTTTTTAATTGTTCCTCTTGATTTGTTGCAGGAACAATTGAGGAATGAAATTATTCGTGAGATTAGTAAACTGGGACGTGTATCAGTTATTGATCTGGCAGATACGATTGGGGTTGATTTGTATCATGTGGAGAAGCAAGCACAAGATGTAGTGTTGAGTGATCCAGGGTTAATGCTAGTCCAGGGAGAAATAATATCACAAAATTATTGGGATTCGATTGCGGAAGAAATTAATGAGAGGCTTCAAGAATGCAGTCAAATTGCTGTGGCTGAACTTGCTGGTCAGTTACAGGTTGGCTCTGAGTTGGTCCAATCAGTTTTAGAGCCTCGACTTGGAACTTTGGTAATTTTGCTTCTGCTCTTGAGCTTTCCAGTTTTTTTTTAACTGAATGTGAGTTTTATTATATCTTTGGATTTTCTTATGTTTCAATATTTTTTAGGTGAAAGCAAGGCTAGAAGGTGGGCAGTTATATACACCTGCTTATGTAGCACGTGTGACCGCTATGGTTCGAGGTGCTTCCAGGGGTATCTTTGTTCCCTCCAACTTGTCGGCATTGTGGGCACCATTGCAACAGTTGGTACAAGAGATGAATGGAGCCAGTGGAGTTGCTGTTGAGAATTCATTTTTCCAGTCTATATTCAACCGACTGTTGAAGGAAGAGGAGATGCTTGGATCACTACGTGCTGGAACCCATTGGACTCCTAGCGTATGTCACAAAATTCTTTTCTTTTGGGATTCTGGCCCTAAATAGATTTACATCTCTATCACTGTACAGTCTTCAAAATTTCATGAGAGCACTCTTGTCTATGCTTGCTGAAACCCACGTTCAGTTACCATCCATTAGAGTAACTTGTTTGATTTTGGTGGCAGGCTTTTGCAATTGCTCAAAAGGAATGTGTAGACTCTTCTTTTTCACAGGTTTGGTCATCATCTGAAGTGTCCTTAGTCCGTTTATTTAACAGCTTGTTTTGGAGAAAACTTCATCAGACTGCAGTATTAGCCTGTTATATATTATTCTTTCTTGAAGAAATGGTGAATCAATTTGTTTATGGTTTGGATTGTTCCGTTTTCCTGCAGAATTCTTACATCTCCTATGAGACCATGCAGAAGCTTGGGATTTCTCAAGCTGTCCAATTCTTACAGGTATCGTATCATGTTAGTTTAGCGTATTTTTCTGTATTTGAGAAAATCTAAGTTATGGAATGATAGCTAAAATGAGTATTACGTTGCCTCCCTTCACTTTTTTTTCCTCATTATAAGTTATGGTTTATGACATGTATAGTCTAGATATCCAGATGGTACACCTTTAGCTGCTGTATTTATTCATTCCTCAATGATTGAGATGCTGGATTCTGCAACCGAGGATGCTATTGAGCAAAACAGTTGGTGAGATTAATTTCTCGTACTCTTTTTCCTTTACGCTCCTTGTATCACTAGATCCGTTTTCACTGACACCCTTGATACTGGGTTCAGGATCGATTCACTCTCTGTATTACCTTCATCATTCACATCACAGGATGCAAACAAGATGTTGCTTCTTTGTCGCTCTGTCCAATCAGCTCTCAAGGTGAGATTTTGATCAAATTTGATAACTAGTCAACAGTCTTTTGTAATAAATTGCTGATTTATTTAGCGTTTCAGGCTGACAAAGCACTTATATTGGGCGAATCTTACGTCCTGAGCAGTGGGTTTATCAAGGTAAACATATAAGGGTATTATTAGTAGTTCCATTGAGAGCTGCTGTCTGTCCCATTTGGTTTTCTCCATCCGAATTATGCCTTGGTTTGACCTACTAATGTTTAGGGCATATATGATCAAATTGAGAAAGAGGCAGAAGCTTTTAGCATCCAAGCTTCTACTGCTAGTTTGATAGATTCTTCAAGCAAATCATCAGAGTCGACAGAAAGCGTACCTGCTAATACAGATAAAGGGTCAAGGAAGAAAAAAGGAAAGTCTGTCAGCATGAAGGCAGCTTCCGTAGAAACTGTTCCAGATGATGAAGAGGACACCCGTCCAAAATCTAAGAGAAACCAGAAGAAAGGCAGGGATTCATCGTCATCACAGAAGTTGGATTCAAAAGCAGGAGGCAAGAAAGAGCCGGTTAAGGCGCAAGAAAGTAATAATATTATTCCGCCAGACGAATGGGTGATGAAAAAGATCGTGGACTCTGTGCCTGAGTTTGATGATGATGGTACATCTGAGAACTTTTTCTTATGTGTGCATAAAAATTAATGTAGCTATAAATTTTGAGTCCATTTGACATAAATTCTGCGATTTCTTGCAGGTACGGAGAACCCAGATTCGATTCTTAAGCATTTAGCTGATCATATGAAACCTATGCTCATTAATTCACTGAAGGAGAGAAGAAAGAAAATCTTTACAGAAAATGCAGATAGATTGAGGCGTTTGATTGATGATCTGCAGAAAAAACTTGATGAGGTTGAAATCAACTGCTTCAGTTATAGTTGTATCTTTAGCTTGACTACCAATACCCAATGTCTCCCCTCTGTTTCTCATTTTCTGATCTTATTATTCTTGGATTTCCTTTTGGCAGTCTTTCCTAAATATGCAGCTGTACGAAAAAGCGCTAGAGCTTTTCGAAGATGACCAATCGACTTCAGTAAGTAATTTTGAAAGTGATACTCGTACTACTCAAAGAACTTAGTGTGGGTACTCAAAGAATCTAGTGTGTAACACTTTCGTTTCTTCTGGTCCTAGGTTGTTTTACATAGGCATCTGCTGAGAACAACAGCAGCTACAATTGCTGATACACTTCTTCATGGCTTGGTAGGACAAAACAAATGGTGTTTCCAAGATCATATTCGTATCGATTTAACTAATCAAGCTTTGATTATCAAAACAGGACATCCACAACAAACTGAAGAACGGTATTGAAGTTGGAGAATCAAAAACGCAAGATCCAGTTTTGCTTGATTCTTCTGAGAGAATGGCCCTTGTAATGCAATCTTGGTCACTAATCTAACTTAGTACTTTATTGCTGCACTTTTTATTATTTTGGATAGTACTAGTCGATATTTGACTCTCCCATGTTTCCTTTTCTTTGGCGCAGGCTAAGAATCTCAACGGTTCACTTTCGAAAAAGGCTGTTGCATTAGTTGAGGCACTGGAAGGAAAGGTTAGATCTTCGTTAATTTTCTTTTTTTCCTTAGTTGTTAACATAACGCCTGGTCTGTTGAAAAAGTGGTTGCCTGTTTCTTTTCTGTTCTTCCATCTCGATTTCTCTTCTCTTGTGGCTGACCATGTTTATATACAGCCAAAGTTTCTGTTCTGATAAAATTTTAATGGGAGTCACAGAAAAATCTTTATTATAACGTAGGCTCTTTTCCACTACCTAGTTAATAACCCTCTTAAAGGGTGGTTTCATTTTGGCTCGTCTAGTGAATGCATCTAAGCGCCATTTGATGGGATTATTTTTGTTTCCAGCGTGTAGACACTTTCATGATCACCTTCAGAGACCTGGCAGAGGAAAGGTATAATATAATTCTTATTTTTTGAGAAATCTTTGAAGCAAGTCTGCTTGGTTTTTACCACTGGGTTTGAACTGTATATTGACTGTATTTGTGCAGTGGATTAGTATTGAAAAAGCTTGACAAAAAATTGGAAAGGACACTCCTACATGCATATCGTAAGGTATGTACCACACCATATTGTTGTTTCTATAATTTTATGATCTCTGTTCACTGCTTTTAATCCCTTTAGTGATGATGTTATCTGTGCTTGCAGGATCTGACATCTCAAGTTTCTACCGAATCAGACCCTGTTGGACTTCTCGCTAAAGTTGTCTCTCTCCTTTTCATTAAGGTACACATCCACGTTCGTGTAACTATATTACATGCTCAAAATCCGGGGTTAAGTTATGGTTGGAACTCGACAGATTCACAATAAAGCTTTACAAGCCCCTGGTAGAGCCATTGCTTCGGCTATTTCACACTTGAAGGTATTACATCTTAGGAGAGATTCACAATAACCCTTCTCTCCAGATCATTCCCTTTTTCATCCGCAGTCAGTTCACTCTGCGATTTCAAACCTTGTAGGATAAACTTGAAGAATCTGCGTACAAGACGTTGACGGATTACCAAACAGCTACTGTAACTCTTCTTGCTCTAATGTCAGCTTCATCCGGCGAGGTTCATCTCTTATCTCGTGGGCAACAAATGCTCATTTCAAATACAACCAATTAAATCTCTGTAGAGGATGATTTCTTTAAGCTCTTCATTCACATGTACAGGAACATGACTGCTCATCAGACAGAATCTTAACCAAACGGGAATTTCTCGAGAGCCAGATGCCATTGCTTAGAACCCTCGTCCTTGGCGAGTCACAGCCACAACAATCCTAATCCAACAGACTCAGGACGGAAGGTTCCCTTAGTGTTCTGCTGTTAAAGCCTAAGTCACTCCTCTAAAACTTACTAGGAGTAGGAAAAATCGACTCATCTCTGGAGAGCTCTGTTACAACTTTTGTACACAAAAAGATTTCATGGTCCAAACCTTAAACCATCAATGGAGGTCTTTATATTTCAAAACACTCTTTTATTAAGATTTACTCATAATGATACAACCAGATAGATTATTACAAGAAACAGAAGAAAAAAAGAGAGTCACACACCACTTATGTTATTACAGCATCACACGTTACTATCTTCAACGTTCCAACTCCTCAAAGTTAAGCTTAACCAGAGATATCAATAGACTTGACCTCAGGCTTCCTCTCTGGAACTTTCGGCACCATAACCGATAACACACCATTCTCCATACTAGCCTTCACTTCCTCCACCTTCGCATTCTCCGGCAGCCTAAACCTCCTCATGAACTTCCCACTCGACCTCTCCACACGGTGCCACTTGTCACTCTTCTCTTCATTCTCACTGCTCCTCTCTCCACTTATCTGAAGTATGTTCCCATCTTCAACCTCCACTTTCACCTCTTCCTTCTTAAGCCCCGGCAAGTCCGCCTTGAACACGTGCGCTTCAGGTGTCTCTCTCCAATCCACTTTGGCGTTTGTGAACGCTGCCACGTCCTTACCCGTTGCGCTTCCCATCCCCGATGGTGTCATGAATCCTTCGAACGGATCCCATACGTCTAGCGAGAATGGATCGAACACGTTTGTCCTACGGCCTCCAAAAATGCTTGGAATTAGAGACATCGTTTCACTTACTCTTTGCGAGATTGCTCTGTTTTGTTTTTGCTTAGCTATGGATTCTTTTTAACTCTTTGTTGATGCAAACACCTATGTGCTTTGGTGTATTTATAGGTAGAAAAGATGGGAGAGTATAGGATAAGAGAGAGAGAACGTTCGGCAAAGTTCTTGAAGATTCAAGTTTTGTCTATAACGTTACTACCAGATTTCTCAGGTGCTTTCAAGAAGTTTCGATGTTGAGAGGGTTTTAGACGACGTGCAATTCATAAGCTCGGCCGGTGAACGCCATGCCGTTTTATTTTACATGGGCTTCGTTAACGGGCCTTTAATACGACATGCAATTAATCACACGTCTATAGTTAAATTGAACACTTGTCTTTTGGTTCTAAACAAAAATGAACAAGTGTTTTTACTAAACCGCCGGATCATGAAAATCACAAAAATGTGTCGTGGTTAAGTTTAAATTATTTGGTACTGGTACAACAACTCAACAAGCACAAAATGTGGTTATTAATTGTTATATATATAAATGTTTTGTAAAAAAACAAAAAAAAAAAAAACTTAAAATCGCCAACAATATTCATACACAATCCGTAAATTTTAATAATCACCGCATCTCTGTGGTCAAGTGGGTTTGGACGAATATAGGGATATTTTGAAAATTAATTTCAATATTTAATTTTTTTTTAATTACTGGTTATCTAGGAGCTTAGTATTGGTTAACCATCTCATGAAATTCTCAAATCAGTAGAATTATTTAATTTCTAATGATTGATCCCATTAAGTGCTTAGCATGCAATTCAGAGTGATATCCATCCAATTTGATTAATACTTTATGCTTTGATGTGATAATAAAATAGGTTTAATTTTGTCAATTAACAATAATTATTTGAAGTTCTCTAAGTGACGACTACCACTTACATTGTATATTACCACCATTGGCCTTTGCTCCTCTGACTTGGAGTTCCTGCCAAGTCACTACAACTTTTAAATGTCAACTCACATTCTTTTCGGTATATTTTCATTTTCAAGCAGTCCAACATTCAAAAAAAAATATTAATTAAGTTCAAAGCTTATACAATTCAAGCTATAAACATTTTATTTCACATGATGTTCAATGGGGTTGCACTACATAAGACTGGTTCACTCCAATCAGGTCGTCGATCTCTCCCATGTCCGCTTCATTTGTAAGCTGGTTTGAGTTGTTGCCCATCTGTTGTCCGGACAGAGTTGACACTCCCGTCTCCATATTAGGCACTATTATCATTAAAACATTTTAACTTTTCACATCTCTAAAGTAGATCGATAGAGATCAGCCATGCATGACCAAAACTTCATGAATGGTTCATATATACTCACTATATATATACAAATCATACCAAACACATCAAGAGATAACTTAATGTATTATATTACCTGTGGACGTAGGCATATGCATAGCCAAGGCTTGCAGCCTTGCTTTGCGACGATTCGCTAAGATTATAGCGATGAACACATACGCAACAAAAACAAACGCTACCGCAGATACCACCCCGATAATAATTGGCAGTTTACTGCTCTTGTCGTCATTAGTTAATGATCCACCTGACCCTATATCAAATATTATTTTTGAACTTAGATTCAAGTGTTATGTTTGTTGTATCCGCGTTATATTCCTTGTTATGATCACTAAGAGCTTTCATAAAATTAATAAAGACAACAAATCAAAATGGATAGAAAACTTCAAAGACAAACCTGAGCTCACTCCATTGCTCCCTCCAGCTCCTCCTTTGCTAGTTCCACCGGAGCCTTAACACACAAATAACTTTTTTTTAACATATATCATGTTACATAAGTATATGATACATATATACCAATAAGTTTTTGCTTTTCGGTAGTTCTAGATTATAATATACAAGTAAAGACTTAAAAAATGCATTTCAAAGAAACAAACCAGATCCTCCTCCTCCTCCTGCGCTTCCACCTGATCCACTTCCGCCTTGGCTTGTACCTTTACTTATAACATAAAGCTCGGCTGCATTTATCATTGGCGGTAAAAGAGCACTAACCGTTGAATGGAACACCAGCAAGGTGCTTGAGCTAGCCACCACATCTCTCACGACCACTTGTGTAGTTTTTCCAAACACAGGCACAATTGGACCCTTTCCAACTTGCTTACCGCCAAAGAAAATGTTGAACGATCGTAAACTCGATTGAAGAGGCTCCGAGAAATACATAGCCAAGTAAACCGGAACTCCTTCTGAAGGAAGAGTGGGATCGGCTAATGCTAAGCCTTCCCCGGTCCAAGAGTTACGGAGGACGGACTCAGGCGGCTTGTTTGATGCACCAGTTGTATCGATCGTTACAGCCGTGGATGGTATTCCTGTGACCAATATGTTTATCTCCGAAGGAAGCCAAAACCTACCTTGAAGATCCGATCTAGCGAAAATAAAAATAATAATCTTAAACCAGCCAAACATAATTGTCAATGGACATATTTATGGTTATTTAGACTACGGTATGAATTGTAGTTGAAATTTGGCATTTACGTATGCTTTTGTTTACGTTAGGAGTAACTGTTTAAAACAATACACATTGTAATCCCGAACACCAAAACTATACACTAAATATACCTATATTTATGCTACTTATACACGTAATTGGATATCGATGTTACCGTAGAACTTCTGTTGCACCATACGCACGTCGTTGTTGGTAAAATAAACCTTCACCAGGACCAAGCTCATCATACATGCCAGTAGCCAAGTCCACAACTTCAATGGATGATACAAAAGGGTTCGATGAGGAAGACGTACGCACAAAGCAAACGCTAGTCTCTCCGCCCACCGGAGCATATATAAGCTCCAAAATATACGGTTCAAATGCCGAGGATATCGATACGGTGCCTCGGTATTTCCCTTCAAACACTACGCTGAAGGTTGGGGTTGAGAACTTCCCGTCGTAGTTCCCGTAGTAAAACATCGTTCTCACTAGAACTTTTCCGCCTTTTGTAACCGGAATAGTGGAGTAGCAATTGGTGTCGCCACTCGGAAAGTATCGAAGCGTGGTGAGGGATTTTTCGATGGTGGTGGATGAAATGGTGGCGACCTCTCCGGATGTGATGAGGTCGTTGTCTCCAACCCATTTTAGGTTGTTATTGTCTACCCCTGGCAATGACGTTCCACAGTCTATGTTTACGCCTGAAATTGATTATGCATGCATGTTAATTATAAACTTATAATAAGGATTAAGGATACAACTCATTAATTCCTTGAACAATATATATTGTTAATTACGTGGATTGATCCAGACCAATATTCTAGATTTTACGGCCAAATTAAATCCAAGACTCTTCTTAAAAGAGGCTTTTACATGATAGCATAACAGAAAGAAGAACTTTAGTTACATGCGAATCAAAAATACTTACTGGCTAGAGAGAGGGTTTTGATGGAAAGAAAGAGAAGAATAAGCAAAGCAGCAGCCATGGTGGGAGCTAAAACTTCAACTAATGTTCTATACAAGATTTATACATACACCCTGAACATATATAGTTGAGCTGTCTATTAATATAATAAAACCAAGTTGAATTCGACCAAACAATATAAAACATGAGAACATTCTTTGAGAGTTTTGACAGTTGGTTTCTTCAAGAACGGTCAATTACAAGATATTCCAACATGCATTTGAATTTTGATAATTCATGTTCATGCTAAGCATGTAAGAAAATTTAGATTCAGTGCCAATACTATATAGAAATCTATAAATTTATATGCAATTTGAGGTCTTATTTTACCAAAAAGGAAAAAAAAAACAAAAAAAAGAGAGTAAAAATGATAACAACTTGAGCCCTTGTGATTTTAGTTAACTTGAGTGCTTGCTAATGTAAAAAGTAAAGAGCAAAAGCAATCATAGAAATTTATTAAGATTAACTTATATTAATGACCAGTGGGGATAATTATATTTCAAAACACTCTTATTAAGATAAACATAATATTACATGAAAAAAGAAAGACCACATTATTAATTTAATTTCACACCACAACTCCACAAGTCCACAACACATCTTTAGTCTTCAATTTCCAAACTTGAAAGTTCCACTTAACCGGAGATATCAATGGACTTAACCTCAGGCTTCTTCTCAGGCACTTTTGGCACCGTAACGGACAACACACCGTTCTCCATACTCGCCTTCACTTCCTCCATCTTTGCATTCTCCGGCAACCTAAACCTCCTCATAAACTTCCCACTCGACCTCTCCACACGGTGCCACTTGTCACTCTTCTCTTCATTCTCACTGCTCCTCTCTCCACTTATCTGAAGTATGTTCCCATCTTCAACCTCCACTTTCACCTCTTCCTTCTTAAGCCCCGGCAAGTCCGCCTTGAACACGTGCGCCTCAGGTGTCTCTCTCCAGTCCACTTTAGCGTTTGTGAACGCTGCAACGTCCTTGGCTGGTGCGTTTGCTAAAGCCGATGGTGTCAAGAATCCTTGGAACGGATCCCATACGTCTAACGAGAATGGATCAAAGGCGTTTGTTCGTCGACCTCCAAAGATGCTCGGAATTAGAGACATTTTTTTTCTTGTTGTTGGTTAACTCTGTTGTGAATTTGCTCTGTTTTTAACTTTCTTTAGATTTTTGTTTGATCCAAATAGATACGTGCCCTAGCATATTTATAGGGTTAGAGAAGAAGAGGGTACGATGATAAGAGAGTGTTCTGCAAGTTTCTTCAATCAAGAATCTTCGTATGTATGTAAATGTAAAAGCATCGGTACCAGAAGTCTCAGGTGCTTTCAAGAAGTTTCGGTGAACGCCATGTCGTTTTTTGTTTTACATGGGCTTTGTTAATGGGCTTTACTATCCGTAGCCCATTTAAGATCCCTTCAAAATTGTAGCCCATTTACTATTCTGTTCATCTTGTATTTCATTTTACTACTGAGTTCTGAAATATTCCAATCGAAATTTGTTTTATTCAACAATATTCAACTCATCGATGATTGATGATATCTGTAAGTGACCAGATACAACCTATGCTGATTCTTTTATGTATACAAGTGGTGTGAAAACCATCGTTGGTCTTTCATTATGTGAGCTGGCGTTCTTGCCAAGTAATGTCAAATACTAACAAGTCAATGTATATTTTCATAGTCAACTCACATTTTTTTTTCCAATTTAAATTAAAAGTCCAACATGAACTTTTTTGGGATGGCAAAATATTCCTTATATTGCTAGTATTAAAAATCCCTACCTATCCAAAGTGACATAACACTTTTTTCTTACGTTTTTCTTACTTCTTTATTTGTGTCCTTACACCATGTGCATCGGCGTTATTAATTTCAGTCCTCCATATTTTAATTTAAAAAAGAAAAATCAAAAAGAAAAAAAATTGGGACGTTCGTTAAAATGGAACGTCTTTTGCCTTGTTTTTTTACTATTCGCGCACCCTACTGACACGTGGCGGCCCACGATTGGTTGTCTTTTTTATAAAAAAAAATATCTAAAAAAAAAATAAAATAAAAAATCCTGGAACCTAAAAAAAGTCCCAACCAATGCACATCGTATTAATCTTTTAACCGGAAAAAAAAACAATCTATGACATGAAATCTTATAGGAATCAAAAAGATTACAAAGAGAAACCGCAATTGTTTTTTTAATAATAATCAATGTAAACATGTACAATTTAAAGGTAAAAACATATGTTTTCATATGATTTTCAATGTCATTGGGCTACATACGACTGGTTAACACCAATCAAGTCGTTGATATCTCCCATGTCCGACTCATATGCAGGCTGGTTTGAGTCATTGCCCATTTGTTGTCCGAATAAAGGCGACGCTCCAGTCCCCATTTGAGACACTATACATGATCAAAATTAACATTTAGCTAGTCACATCTCTAGGGTAGATAGATATTAATTAGTCAAGACCAACAATTCATATAGTTAAATTTTTTTACAACGAATAGATAAAATATAATTACGATATATACGTACAAACTCATAAAGGAATCATTGTTTACCTGACGTAGGTATAGCCAACGCTTGCAGCCTCGCTTTACGACGATTTGCAAAGATAAGAGCGATAACCACATATGCAACAAGAGCAAATGCTACCGCTGATACGGAACCGAGTATAGTTGGCACTTTACTCTTCTTTCCTTTACTTGTTAACCCACCTGCCCGAAATGATCAAATGTAATGTTTTTACTTGCATGATAAAACTAAATAATTAATGAATGTTCCATTTGTTATTTTCATTACATGTTAGTACTAATACAAACCTGAGCTCACATCATTGCTCCCTCCAGTTCCTCCATTGCTAGACCCACCGGAATCTAAAAAGAATAAAAACAAATTATGAGTGTAACATTTTTTTTTGAATGTAATGTTAAATTATATTTAAAGAAAAAATAACGTTTTCAGTGTAACATTAAGTAGAGAACTAACTAACTATATGATCGAAATATACTAAAAGTTTGATACTTTACTAATTCAAAATTCTACTTGGAACCTAGACTAATCATTGAAGATATGAATCTACAAAAAGAACAAACCTCCAGATCCGCCGCTCCCAGACCCTCCTCCGCCGCCACTCCCAGAACCCCCTCCGCCGCTACCACCTCCACCTGTGCCTGATCCGTTTCCACCTCCACTTCCACTTGTACCCGTACTTATCACGTAAAGCTCCAAAGCATTTATCATAGGCGGTAAAAGTGCACTAGCCGTGGACTGGAACACCAGCTTGGTGGTTGAGCTAGCCACCACATCTCTCACGACCACTTGCGTGGCGTTTCCATACACAGGCACTATTGGTCCTTTATTAACTTGCTTACCACCATATAAAATGTTGAACGATCGTGCACTTAACTCAAGTGGCTCAGAGAAATACATGGCTAAGTAAACCGGAACTCCTCCAGAAGGAAGAGTTTGGTCGACTAATGATAAGCCTTCCCTGGACCAAGAGTTACGGAGGACGGACTCAGGCGGCTTGTTTGATGCACCAGATGTATCGATTGATGCAGCCGTGGATGGTATTCCTGTCAACGATACGTCTATCGCCGATGGAAGCCAGAACCTACCTTGAAGATCCGACCTAGCCAACCAAAAAAAATATTCATTCTTAATATATTAACTTGTAAAACATAGGTTTGTATACCTATAATTAATTAGAGTATGGTCACTTTGTGTTCAATTTTTTCATTTATATTTATTATGTAAAATACATTTCGTAGTTTTATTTTTTTTTATCAAATATGTTTGCATATTGTAAACGTTAATGGATTCTTTTTTCTATTTACGTTTAAAAACGCTAGATTAAAAATAAAATACATAATGGTGAACATACTACTAAAGTTAAATTGATTAGGCTTATTTTTGTGTTATTCTATGCGAACTTGATATAGATGCTACCTTAGAATTTCTGTCGTGCCGTACGTAACTCGTTGATGGTAAAATAAACCTTCACCAGGACCGAGCTCGTCGTACATGCCATCGTCCAAGTCGACAACTTCAATGGAAGATACAAAAGGGTTTGACGACGAAGAAGTACGCAAAAAACAAACGTTGGTCACTCCGCTTGCCGGAGAAAATATCAGCTCCAAAAGGTAAGGTTCCAACGGGGAGGATATCGATACGGTGCCTCGGTGTTTCCCTTCAAACAATACGCTGAAGGCTGGGGATGAGGACTTCCCATCGTAGTTACCATAGTAAAACATCGTTCTCACTAAGACTTTTCCACCTTTTGTAACCGGAATGTTGGAGTAGCAGTTGGAGTCTCCGGTCGGAAAGTACCTAAGTGTGGTTAGGTATGTCTGGACAGTGGTGGACGAAACCGTGGCAGACGATCCAGACGTGACGAAGTCTTTGTCTCCGACCCATTTTATGTTGTTCTTGTCTATCCCCGGCAATGATGTTCCGCAGTCTATGTTTACGCCTGAAATCAGCCATGCATGCATGAATCATGACGGGTTAATTATGATATGATAATATGTAATGATAAGGTAAGGAAGAACGAGTTAAGATAAACTAATAGATTAGTAAAATTTTGTAGATAATTATTACTTACTGGCTAGAGAGAGGGTTATGATGGAAAGAAAGAAGAGAATACGAAGCAAAGTAGCAGCCATGGCAGGAGCTATAACTTCAACTAAAGCTCTACACAAAACTTATACACACATGCACCCTATATATATACGTCATATGTGACTGTGTATATGAATTATACTTATGTACTGAGTTTAGCTGTCTAATAGTATCTTAAAACCAAGTTGTAATCGAACATGAGAACATTCATGTATAGAGTCTGACTTTCAAATATAAAATTCATTTTTGACAATGAAAAATTACAAAAAAATTCCAATAACCATTATTATACTGTCAATTGCATATTAAAATTTTCTTTTATTAGTCAAATGCAGAATGGTATTGGATCTAATCATTTTAAAAGCCGATATTGCTAAGAAATTTTTTGTTGACTTTTACCAGTCAATGAATTTTTGATAAGAATTAATACCAAAAAATAAAAAGTACTTGAGACGCGAATGTTAAGCGCAGTAAAAAACACCATTTTTAAATTTTGACTTTAACATCTGTATTAGGAACATCATTTTTTAATATTTGTGCTAATTAAAATATTTTCAAATCATTGTTCTTGTTAATAATATTTGTTCTTGTTTATAATAGTTTTCTCGAATTAGAAACCAGGGAAGTAATCTTTGTTTAGAGACCTTGTACACTTCTTACAAAATCACTATTCGAAAGGTTTTAGATTTGGTATTTATATGTTACTACCATTTCCTACTAGTGAATTATAACAATTTTTGGTCGAATATAAATTGAAAGAATAACTTTTTTATAAAATAAAATAAAATTCATAAATAAGAAAAGGAATGTAGATCACACGACTAGGGTCAATGTTGTTCATCTTGAACAACATACGAATCATTCGTGTCGCTGACGAACTGTTGTTCAACTAGTGGCGACATTCCCGTGCCTGTTCCATGCCCTTAGGAAAGATACGAGAAACCAAACACCAATATTGTTTAATTGTCATATATATTCACATATTCAATTTCCATTATACATAGCAACAATATAGTTATACCTGTGGACATAGTTGGTGTTGTGTTGGAGTGTGGTATTGCGTTTTGACGCTTTCTAAAGAAAATAGCCCCAAAGCCGGATGAGAGAATTGCAAACGCAGAGGCAAACGTAACACCAAAAATGAGTGGTAATTTGTTTTTCTTCTTCTTTCTTCCTCCCTTTGTTTTTGTCACATCTAAAGGTTCTATATCTAGAAATGGTGTCAAAATTTTGTATTTGCATCAGGCAAAAAAATGCATAAAATAAAGGGGAGAAAACACATTTGGCCATAAAATAAATTAAAAATTTGTGTTTGCATTAAGCATAAAATGCAACAATAATTTATTACCTCAAAAAATAGAAAGAAATAAATGGGTACAGATTTTGAGTACTAAGTACAAACCTTCTACGGCATTGTTTTTGTGTGGTTCCGTAGCTCCGGGACCTTAATCAAATACCAAATTAAACTCAAAGCATTTAATATTATGATACATTGCCTATAGATTAACATATCATTCCTTATACTCATTACTCAATGTCCATTGAATCTTAAGTTGGAAGCAATGAAATTTAAATTCCATAAACTAGAGTTCGAAGTGTTCAGAAGTAAATACATGGAAAAGTTTGGTTATTTACTTAAAATTTTGAGAACGTTTTGGTTATTTAAATTGACCAAATAATTAACTAACCTTGGGTGTCTCGGACTCGGTTGCTGTTACTTATTGAGTACAGCTCCAACCCATTGATGAGGGGTGGCAAATTCGAGTCATCGGTTGACTTAAAGATTATCTGGGACATCGACGTAGGCACTACATCTCTCAAAACGAATTGAGTCGCTTTCCCAAACACCGGTACAATGGGACGCGAACCCACTTGAGTGGTATCCAAGAAAACGTTGAAAGACCGTCTTTGAGTCCGACCTAGACTCTCAGGTTCTGAGAAGTAAAGAACCATGTATACCGTTGAACCAGGTAAGGGTATAGCCGGGTAGGAAAGTGAACCGTATAATCCGTATCCTGAGTATGCCTTTGACATGACAATCTCCCGCGGCTTGTTAGACGCTCCGGTGATGTCTATTGATAGGGCTAAGCTCGATAGCTCGATGGTCATTGTGGGGTTGTCTAGGGACCCTGGTGCGTTCCATAGCCGACCGTAAGGGTCTAACGGGTAGCTAAATAAATTTTAAAAACACCAATATAAAAATAATCAGTTGGGTACGTAACAAAAAACGCACTTGACGTTATAAAAACTGTTATGAATGGATAAATTTTGTCTAAAGACTATCCAGGATGGTCTTTGTGTATCAGTATATATACCTTATAAACTCTTTGGCACCGTAAGCAATTCTTTCTTGGAGAATGAGACCTTCTTTAGGATCAAGATCGTTGTACATGCCAACGTCCATACTATAAACTTCAATAGAAGATATAAAAGGGTTATCGGACGGAGACGTACGGGAGAAGCATACGCTGATATTCTCATTCACCGGAGCAAATATCACCTCCGAGAAATAGAAATTTTCTTCGTCCGAATCAGTAATTTGAATAGAGTCACGGTGTTTCCCGTCGTAAATCACGTCAAAAGATGGCGGCGAGAACTTCCCGTCGTAGTTCTCGTACTTAAAGCTCGTCCTCACTAGGGTTTTCCGGCCTTTTGTCACCGGAATGTTGGTGTAGCAGTTGGTTTTACCGGTTGGGAAGTACCGGAGAGTGTTCATCGGCTTTGTGACGACGTCAGGAATCTCCAAGGGCTCTCCGGTGGTGACAAAGCCCTTATCTCCGACCCATGTTACATCGTTGGAGTCCACGTATGATCCAGTTGATCCACAGTCAATACTTATATCTAATGATAGAGAAAACAAAACATAATACGTTAAGTGAGTTAAATTAAGAAAAAAAAATGTTAATGTTGGAGGGATTTCATATTTGTAACGTACTCTTTGCTAGTGTTGTTAGTATCACTGCTGGGAGAGATAAGAGAGTGATGAGATAAAGAAGCGCCGCCATAATCAATCAATGAGGTGATTAGCTTAATTGCATGCATACGTAATATATAGATATTATTTTTGAAGTATGTTCGTATAATCATATCTTGTGACTTGAATAGTGAGATTGCACAGCTCATATAATATATCTAGTTGACTTGACTTATCAAGATTGCACAGCTCATGTTTTATTTGCATCAGTGGTGTGGATCTTGATTTATGTTTTAGAAAATTGTGATTTCAATTTATTCGAAGGGAGCTTCATTAAGTACTCATTCAATTGACTTAGCATAGAGTGGACGTATTGAAGTCAATGGCATTTGTTTTCTTATATGCCAAGGCACAAAGACTTTAGAAGTAAACGGCTCATGTTCACCCACTTTTATTTATACGTATACAATGTTTTAACAAAGTAATAAAACGTATAATTCAACGTAGTGGGAACAAAATGGTTGGATAATTAATGTGTTAAGCCGATATCTTCGTATATTAATCTCAGTATACTACTCATAGGTTGGAACTGGTGTAGGGCTCAAGTGTAGATTAGGAATAAGAAAGGAGGCAAGTGGTGTCCAAAGGAATTAATGTCTCAACCTAATAATCTGTCTTTGGTGGACCTTTTGTTTTGAACGCAGAGCCAGGTTGTGTTTAGGAACCCGAACTAACTAACTGTTTTATTAATACCAAATGGTTCCAGTGATGTTCATCATATTAATTTCATCTAAAAGAAAGAAAAAAAATCTTTTAATTCATTTTCTGTCATAGAAGCGAAAAACTTTTCGAAAACAAAATTACATCGATCTCTGGCTTCAACTTACATGATAATGCTCATTAAAATACAATGATACTACATTTTATCGTTATCACGTATCATGTTTATTATTTGATGTATGAAAGATTTGACAAGAAGGAGAAGTTGAAAGATTTAAAATGAGAACAACAACAACAACAACGCATGAAACTTTTGCATCAATGAATAATTTAGAATATTTGAACATCTTTCCAAGTGATTGGTGAGTAGGCCAGTCCATGTGCACGATGATCATCTTGGTGAACAATATATGAACCGTTTTATGCAATCAGCTCATCACCATGCCCTGGGTTTCTTTCATCGCTCTTCAACTGCTTTCCAACTAGAGGCGATATCCCTGTCATTGTTCCAAAGACCTTAGAAATATAAGGCAACTCCAAAAAATTTTTTAGACAACTAAATATTAGATACTACAGATGATGTCTGTCTTATGCGTAAAATTAATATCATATATATATTTTAAAATTTTTTTATTAACTAACTGCACTAGTAATTTTAATATGTTAAAAATGTAAATATATGATCAAGTGCTAATAGCTCAATTGATAAATATTTCTGGCAAAAACTTAGAGCTCGCCGGTTCGAGTAGCGTTTGGGAAGAGACCATATAACATGTTATGGTCTCGTGTCTGAGGGGATGTATGAGTTTCGGCCCATAACCTCTTTGATTATTCAAAAAAAAGAAAAATGTAAATATATGGTAGATAAATATTGAGGAAAGATATCTATGGATTGTCTATAGATAAAAGAGAAAAATATTTTATTAATTTAAAAGACAATTGTATCCCTTTTAGTAGATTTATATTTACCTATTTTCTAATGGCATATATATATATTTATAATTTGATTATTATAGAGGATAATGCACGTATATAACTTTGCATATCAATGATATGTACAGTACCTTTGGACGTGGTTGATGCCGTCGTCTCGGACTGTGGCTTAGAGTTGGAAAACATTCTCACCAAAAAGGCCAAAATGCCGAGAACCACAACCCCGGAGGGAATGACAAGAAGGAGTAGTAATCTAATGTTAGTCTTTCCTCCAGCTTTGGTTGCCAAAATACTTAAAACTGCGTTATGCAAAAGAGTCAAACATGATTTAGTTAAAAACATCTATGTTAATTACCCAAAAATAAAAAAAACAGCAGTGCATGTTCAAAGATATGCACGTATTCAAGAAATGAAAATGATACTTTCAAACTTCAAAGTATAACTCAATGTGTAGATATATATGTAGAGAATGTATTTTCCCAATATATTCATAAGAGAGTACAATTGAGTATATATACAAAATGAGAGTGAGAGTTCCTAGGTTAAGTATTTACAGAATGTTCCATAAGAAGAGATACGAGATATTGAGGTCATTATGAGTGTCCTTATGTTATCCTTTACACGCCCCCTCAAGATGGAGGTGGTGGAACCACTCCAATCTTGTTCCGAAGTTGTAAGAACTGAGCACGAGACAGCGGTTTGGTGAGAGCATCAGCGAGTTGGTCTTTGGTGTTGACATGAGCGACACGGAGGAGGCCATTTTGAACATGTCCACGAACGAAGTGATAGTCGATGGCAATGTGTTTCATGCGGGAGTGAAACACCGGATTAGCGCAGAGGAATGTAGCACCGACGTTGTCACAGTAGACGACTGGTTTGTCAGGGAGTTCAACTCCAAGTTCGGTGAGGACGTTACATATCCAACGGATTTCAGAGGCGGTGTTGGCCACAGCTCTATATTCGGCCTCCGTAGACGAACGAGCGACACCGTTCTGTTTCTTAGCAGACCATGAAATGGGGTGGTGACCAAGATATGATATGTAAGCGTTGGTGGAGACGTAGTCATCGGTGTCGCCTGCCCAATCGGCATCGGAGTAGGCATGTAGGGAGAGACGGTTTCGCGCGGAGAAGAAGATGCCATGAGCTGGTGTGCCGGCGAGGTATCGGAGAATTCTTTTGGCTGCCTGCCAGTGTTCATTTGTAGGTCGGTGCATGAACTGAGATAGGCGGTTGACCGCATATGCGATATCAGGACGTGTGAAGCTAAGGTACTGCAAGCTGCCCACCACTTTTCGAAAATCAAGAGGATCATCTAGAGGCGTACCAGAATTGAGAGTGAGTTTTGGAGATGAGGCCATGGGAGAGTGGACAGGTTTGGATGCAGTCATATTCTGTTGATGCAAGAGGTCGAGAATATATTTCCGTTGGGAGAGATGAAGGCCTTTGGCAGTGCGACGAGCTTCAATTCCCAAGAAATAATTTAGGTCTTCTGCATCTTTGACAGAAAATCAGTCTGCAAGTGACGTGAGGATGTGTGTGATCATGTTCTTGTTGCTGCCAGTTATCAAGATGTCGTCGACATACACAAGGAGATACACAAAGTCGGAGCCACTGTGAAGAATGAACAGAGATGTGTCAGCCATGGAGTTTTTGAACCCAATAATGATAAGATAGGCTTTTAGCTCCGTGTACCACGCTAGTGGAGCTTGTTTAAGACCATACACTGCTTTGTGGAGGCGACATACATAATCCGGCTTGTCCGGATCAACAAAACCCGGCGGTTGTTCCATGTACACTTCTTCCTTTAGAGTGCCTTGGAGGAAGGCATTGTTGACGTCTAACTGTTGGATTGGCCATCCCTTGGAGACTGCAATGTCAAGAACAATACGAATCGTTGTTGATTTAATCACAGGACTAAATGTTGCTGTGTAATCACGACCCAATTGTTGATTGTAGCCTTTAGCGACAAGCCTCGCTTTGCACCGTTGATGAGAGCCATTGGGGTTGAATTTGTTCTTGTACAGCCACTTACACCCAACAACGTTTCTTCGTGGTGGGCGAGGAACCAGGCTGAAGGTGAGGTTGTGAGCAAACGCATCGAGTTCGGACGACATCGCACCACGCCATCGTTGATCTTTGAGTGCTTGTTTCAATGTCACGGGTTCGTTAGGAACCAGGGAGCTAGACGTGGCCAGAAGATTGTATTTGGGGTTCGGTTTGACAATTTGATTCTTCTGTCGTGTTTGCATTGGATGTGTGTTTGCAGGAATCGGAGTCACTGGCTCAGGAGACGGCGATGGGGGAAGGGACGAGGAAGAGGAGCTCTCTTCTGGGCTTGAGGATTCTGTTGGGCTTGAATTGTTGGAATGGGCCGAGCTTTCAGAAGTGGGCCTATTGGAATCTCTTTCACCACTTTGGGAGGAGCCCAGTACCCCTGCATCATCATTCCCATTATGACGAGAGTCGACAGAGGAAGAGGAAGTCAACATACCTTCCGACGACGACGACGTTCCGTGGTGAGAGGCTGAGTCCGGGAATCCCGGTTGCGCGGCGGACTGAGTCGGTACCTGTACGAATGGCCTGGTCACCGGAATTGGTCCAGCGGGATGTGTTTGGTTTGGTTGGGAGGATGAGGAAGTGTGAGGTGCAGACTTTGTGAGGGAGTGGAAGGGGAATACTTTTTCATCAAATTGGACATGCCTAGAGGTGTAGACACGGCCAGAGCTGGGTTGGAGACAGAAGTATGCACTCTGAGTGAGAGAGTAGCCAATGAAAACACAGGGGGTGGACCGGTTCTCTAATTTGTTGGTGTGGTAAGGTCTCAGCCATGGAAAGCAAAGACAACCAAAGCTGCGTAGTTTGGTGTAGTTCGGTGCAGAGCCAAATAGCTTTTCAAACGGAGACAGCATGTGAAGGACTGGCGTCGGTAAGCGATTGATGAGGAAGGTTGCTGTTGCAAATGCATATGGCCAGTAAGACTTTGGCATGCCGGCGTGAGTGATGAGAGAGAGACCGGTTTCCACGACATGACGGTGTTTACGTTCTGAGATTCCGTTGTGCTCAGGTGTGTGTGGTGGTGACGTGAAGTGAGAGATCCCGGCGGTGGAGAGAAATGATCGTAATGCAATGAATTCACCTCCGTTGTCAGAATAGAGCGTGCCGATTCTGTTACTGAACTTGTTCTCGACCAATGCCTTGAACGAGATAAAGGTCTCACGAACTTGAGATTTGGTTTGTAGTGGGTATAGCCATGTGTAGCGGGTGTAGTGATCGATGAGAATGAGGTAGTATTTGAAGTTGTTGGTTGACAGAATGGGTGAGGACCAAACATCAGAGAATATGTATTCAAGAGTGCGAGTGGAAGTGATGGAGGATTGATGAAACGGAAGTTTGTGAGTTTTATTAATAGCACAATCGGTACACAATGTTTGAGTCTTATTGGATTGTGAGGAAGGAAGAGAAAAATGAGAAACAACTTTGTGAAGAATGGAGTGAGACGGATGACCTAAGCGATGATGCCAGTCATCAATGGAAGGCTTTGATGGTGAAGAAGCAAAATAAGAGGCATAGGGAATGGAGGTGACTGGCCACTCGTACAGATCGCCGTTAGTCTTGCCTTGGAGCAATGGGGTTTCCGTTCTCAGCTCCTTCACCTGAAACGACGCAGGGAAAAATTCAACAGACACCTTGTTAGCATTGCAAAACCGATACACAGAGATAAGGTTCTTATGTATATGTGGAACACAAAGAACGTTATTTAGTGTTAACGGGCGAGTAGTAGAGACTAAGGGTACTGAACCGGTGTGCGTAATCTTTAGGCCCGAGCCATCACCTATGAGAACAGAGTTGTCGCCTGTGTATGGTTGGTGGAAGGACAGGTTCTGCAGGTCACTCGTCATGTGGTGAGTCGCACCGCTGTCCATGATCCATGGTTCAGCTGAGTTTGGGTAGCCAAGGGCGAGGTTGGCAGTTGGCTGCCAAGGACGATACTGATTTTGCAGTGGTTGTGACAGCAACGCAGGCTGCTTGTTGAGCAGGTGGGGACATCGTCTGGCGCTGTGGCCATACACGCTGCAAATCTGACACTTGCCCTGATATCCGCGTGAGTTGTTGCGATTGTCAGAGCGTTGACCTTGGTTGTTGTACTGGCGCTGAGCATTGGTGTTGTTGTTGGTCCAGTTTTGGCATTGTGGTTGTTTGTGCGATGGTTGCTGTTGGCGAGTATTAGCGAGATTGGCCGTGACAGGAACTTCAGCCAGAGACGCTTGAGTGGAGAGGAGTTTAGCTTCTTTGTTCAGGAGCTTCTCATGAATTTCAGTAAGTGATGGGGCAGTTTCACGGCCTTCGATCTGATCCACCACATTTTTGTAATCCTCTGGTAGGCCTCTCACGATCTGTTCAATTTGGTCTTCATGTTCGAGGGGATTGCCAAGGAGACTAAGTTGATTAAACTTGGTTGTGAGAGCCTGGAAGTACTCGTCGATGCTTTTGCTTCCTTTGTAGATGTGAGTGATCTGAGTTTTGATTTGCTGAACATGACCACGGCTTGGTTTAGCGTACGTGTCGGCGAGAGTGCGCCACACATCAGCCGATGTTTGAGCTTTAGACAAGAGAGGCTGGATTGTGAGAGAAACCACACCAATGAGACCACTGTAGATAAGCTTGTCTTGTCGTTTCCAGGACACGAACTCAGGGTTGGCTGTCGTGACTCCATTGTTGGTGACGGTGGGAGGAGGGCTTGGTCTGGATCCGTCGAGATGCCCTGCGAGATCGTATCCGTCGAGAAGAGCATGAACTTGGAGACTCCACATCATGTAGTTGTCGCTGGTCAGTTTGGTGACTCCAGACATGTTCACATGAAGAACTGTTTGCTGGTTCACGACGATAGCTTCTGGGTGAGCAGCCATGAGGAGAGAGAGAGGAGGAGATGGATGAGAGAGGAGGAGTAAAGAACAGAGAAGAACAGAGGAAGATGGCGGCTGAAAAAAAAAATATTAGGTTATCGTAATTGGCTTTGATACCATGTAGAGAATGTATTTTCCCAATATATTCATAAGAGAGTACAATTGAGTATATATACAAAATGAGAGTGAGAGCTCCTAGGTTAAGTATTTACAAAATGTTCCATAAGAAAAGATACGAGATATTGAGGTCATTATGAGTGTGCTTATGTTATCCTTTACAATATATACGTAGGTATTAACCAATGTATCTTTCACGCAAATACAATAACCAATGTACAGTATATCGTATCCATACCTTTTATTCCATTGTTTCCTCGTGTTTTCGTTTTTCCATCCTTGTCCCTATCTGAAACTATAACCAAAATAACAAAAGAACATAAATTACAGCATCAAACAATATATTTACATCATCACTCATTTATGTCCTAGGTTTGGTTAATTAAATATACCACACCAAAAAAAAAAATGAGTTGATGATAATGATTTTATATAACGTAACTTAGGAAGTAAAAGTAAACTAACTTTCTAAATCATCCACGCTAAAGCCACTCTCTTCTCCTCCTTCTCCTCCTCCTCCTCCTCCTCCTCCCCCTCCATTTTCACCACCTTTTTGGCCTTTTCTTATCAAATACAGCTCCAACGCATTGATGATCGGTGGCAAATTCGAGTCTCCAGTAAGCTTAAAAGTCACCTGGGACTGGGGAGTGCCTACTATGTCTCTTTCAACGACCTGAATTGATTCTCCAAAAACCGGAACGATGGGATCCGAACCCACTTGCTTGTTGTCCAAAAACACGTTGAACGACCGTTTATGGGTCTGACTTAGATCCCGAGGCTCTGAGAAGTAAAGAGCCAAGTATGCCGGTAAACCTGTTAAGGGGAGAGCCAGTTTGAAGTCTCCTGACAAGGCCTGCAACATAACATCCATGGGCGGGTTGTTTGATGCCCCAGTGATATTTATCGTTGAGGCTGAAGTCGTCAGATCGGTCATGCTGGGATTTTCTTGGGACAATGACGAGTCCCATACCCTACCGTAAGGATCTAGGTAACTAATTAAAAAAATAGACAATAACAGATTGAATAAGTAATCTGGTATATTATTTGGATAATTAATTATATAATCTTGAAGCCAAGTATTTATATAATTATAATCTATATAGTTAACACAATTTTAAAAATGTGCAGTAAGTTATCTCAACTGTTATATGTGAATCAAGAAAAACCTAGGGCCACATTCACATGCCAAATATGAAACATTAGAAAAAGACATTAAGTCTTTAAAACAACTAAAGTGATGTGTTTCAAATAAACTATTTATTTTGTTTTTCATAATTTGACGTTTATGGTTTCAATACTACGATAAATTGAGGTCTAATTTTCTTTATTACTAAGCATGGTATTATAACATTAAATCCACATCTATAAACATTACTGCGCCTGATCATATATTACCTTATAAACTCTTCGTCACCGTATCTAGCTCTACCTCTGGGAATGAGACTTTCGTCAGGACCAAGTTCGGCGTACATGCCGGCATCGAAGCTGTAAACTTCAATGGAAGATATAAAAGGAGTACCCCATCGATACGTGCGGACGAGGCAAACGCTGATATCCTCATTAGCCGGAGAAAATATCGCCTCTAAGAAATATATTTTCTCCTCGTCGTTGGTCTTCGGAATTTTAATAGAATACTTGTGTATCTGGTTGTAAACCAAGTCGAAAGATGGTGGCGATTCTTCATTATCGTAGTTACTGTAGTAAAAGTTCGTCCTCACAAGTGTTTTCTGGTCTTTTGTCACCGGAATTTTGGTGTAGCAGTTACTATGATTGCTTGGAAAAGACCGGAGAGTGTTGTATGGCTTTGTGGCAACGTTCGGTATCTCTTTGACAATGCCGGTCGTGACGAAGTCATCATCTCCGACCCATGTTACGTTGTTGGAGTCTTCGTAGGATCCGGTTGTTCCACAGTCAATGTTTATACCTAATGACCAATATCCAATAGTGTGAGAATAAAAAAAATGAATTAGAGACAATATGATCATTGGAGATAAGATTACAATGGAGAGATTTGTACCTAAAGCGAGAGAAAGGAATATGGGGGACAGAGAGAGGAGAGTGAGAAGAAGAAGCGCAGCCATGATTCAGTGAGCGAGCTACGTACCTTGCTTACATACATGCATACATATTATATATATATATATATAAATTGCTTTAGTTTGAGGAAAAAACAAGATGATTCTAAATATGAAAATATCTAACACTTATCCTCTATATTAATTGAGAAGATTCGTTTTTCTTATATCCATTCGTTTTTTATCTTAATTTTTGTCTTTTTGTCTTCAAATTAATTATAATTAAAAATTCCCATAAAATTTTTATAAAATATTTATTCAATCGCTATCGATATCTTATATTAAAGATATTTCACTATTTTTTTAATCGTGATATTATATATTTAATTTTTTGGTAGGATTAATATGTTATATAACTGTTTTATTACATACATATATATATATATATATGTATGTAATAAAACAGTTAGAAAATTGATTATATATATGTCTCTTATATATATATATATATATATATTCGAAAATCTTATACATGATTTTCGTTTCGTTTTGTTACTTTTGTTCTGTTTGTTGGAGCTTCTTCATAGAATTTTTTTGAGTATTTTTGATAAAAATATTGGTATTAACTATTATTAATTACAATTTCAAAAAGAAACATATTTTATTATTTTCGTTTATTTTTACATTATATAAAACATTTTTCATATAGCAAAACAAGTAGGAAAAAAAGAGTATGCAAATATGCAAGTGTACGTATAAAACAAATACAGACTAATAAATTGCTTACGGACATGAGATGGAGAATGATCCAAAACCTGTTTACAATTAGAAGACTTCAAAAATTAAAAGTAAACGTCTGTTTGTTTGCATTGGAGACTAACGGGTTTTGTACGTCTTGTTATTGGCCTCTTGCAAATAGCTTACGTCCATCCAAAAAAAAAAAAAAAATAGCTTAGAGCATCGACGATGGGAGAGATCCATATAGGACTCTTGGTAATATTTATACTATAAATTTTGTAAAATTTGAAGTGAAAAGATGATGATGAGGTTTTTAAATATGTAGTCTTTTAATGATAAGAGTCATTGGATTCTTTATTTTCTTATAATTAGTTTATAAAAACAAAATTTTAAAATATTTATACTTTATTACTTTTTAAATAATCATGAGTTTTAAAAAACATTACATAGATGCAAATATAAATATATTGATCAAAAAAAGAAGCAAATATAAATATAAAAAACATACAAGAAAATAAATACATTAATTACGTTGACATTTTGTAGTGTTGTAAAAAAATGTACTTACAAGGAAAGTAAAGAGAAAGAAAAGATTGCAAAAAGAAATTACCAAAATTTGAGATGAAACAGGGAAAAAAAATATTGGAAACAACTTTGATAGATGAAAAAAAAAAAAAAACTTTGATAGTCTCCCACGTAACAGTTTCTTCCCACAAAAAGCTCTCGTCGTAGGAGCCGGTTCTCTTAATTATCATGAATTAAACATTTATTTTTAATTTTAATTACTTTAAAAATGCTCTCCCACCGTTGTGGGTGCTTTTACGTCCATCCAAAAATGAAGTCACAAAAACTTAACAATGTATCGTAGGGAACATTTGATTGGAACTTGGAAGGGAAATTTCATGTGTTCAGCATCAGTCCTATTCATAAATTTGTAAATAATGAAATAAGAAATGAAATCGAAACTTACGTACCCATAATGTTGGTAGAAAGTTTTAATGTTTCAGTTTTGTTGTTTCTTAAGTGGTCCACTGATTTTTTAGTTTCCAGTGAACAAAACATTCCTATCAATAAATTTGTTTTTTTTTGGATTTGAATATGATCAATAATAATAATATTAGTAGAATTCTTTTAGTTTCGTCTTTCCTTTAATAAAATTAGTAGAATTGATAAAAAAAAAAAAAAAAAAAAAAAATTTGGTGATACAAGTATAATTTTTTTTATTTTTTTTTTCCAAGAGGTAGTGGGCTAGTGGTAGGTCAGCTTGGGTGGAAGGGTGTAACTCCCACAACCTGAGTTCGATTTTCCAGTTTGCTATTAACACCATCTTTGTGGAAAGTCTGTCAGATGAACTTAGATCCAATTGGTTTACTTGTAATCAGAAATGCAGGCGGCCTGATTAACGATGTGGTAGCCCAATATTTACGTATTGGCGAAAAGTCCATATTATATTACCTCAGTGCGGTCCTTCCACAACTGACCTGATCAGCCGACCGGTTATATAAAAAAAGAAGTAGAATTTTTTTTAGTTTAGCGGTTCACTTATTGAAATCATGAAGCCCATTCTTATCAATCTAACCCAAATGCATAATGGATATGAAGCTTGGGCAGGCTCGAGAAAACATGCCTACGAACACTCAGAAACAAGAATAAAATGGGATAATCCAATATCCATTATGGAGAAAACAAAGTCGAAACGAACCATGCAAATTTCTAGAGTCCTGTTAACAACACAAAGGCAGATTAGAGCACCTCCAAATGAGGTGCTTAATGCTATGCTTAAGATAATGTTTATATTAATTGCATTATATATAATACTAAACCAACCACAAAACATAAGCTCGTAGCTTAAATTAAGTCTTTAAGCTTTTTTTAAGGAACAAATGCTTAGTGCTGTAGACGACACTAGAGGCTTTGGAAAGTAGGCAATCAGACCACTCGACCGACCCCTGAATCTCAACTCCATTCCAATACAAGGCGATCATAGTACATCGAATCTCCATTATGCCAGTTCGCAAAAATGATTTGAAAATATTCTTGATATATTTTATAGATTTTATTGATATATAATTGTACGTCGATTTAAAATCATTTCAGTTATTATTGATGTATTTAATTGTTAACCCAGGTTATAAATTATTGATTTTAATAACAAAGATACATGTACTTGTTATGACGATCGAAAGATATATTGAGAAGAAGGAAACGGAAAATTTCAGATTCATTATTTAAAATTGACAAAAAAAAATAAAAATGTTTTGACAATAGTTTTCTTTCTTTCTTTGGGATAGAGAGATTCACGCGACAATTTGGCATTGATAAATAATTTAAAATTTTAAAATTATCTTCTTAATTAGGTCGTCAACGACTAAACTGGTCCATGTTGATGATGGTCATCCTGATGAACGACATATGAATCGTTTACGCCAATCAACTCCTCAATATCATACACATCTGGCTCATCATCATGCTCTTGGTGGCTAATCGCATCGCTCGCTAATTGCTGTCCAACTAAAGGTGATACCCCCGTCACTTTTCCAGGCCCTTAGAAATATAAGACAATCCCAATAAAATGTACTTAATGATCAAAAACTTCAAAACCAATAGAGATATGTATAAATGTTTTAAACCAAGATTATTAGTATGTACCTGTGGACGTGGTTGGTAGCGTGTTGGACTGTGCCTTAGCCTGTGCACGTCGTCTTTTTAAGAATATAGCCGCAAACGTTGACGTTAGAGATACAAACACTGAGGGAAACGTAAGGCCAAGAATGAGTGGTAAATTGTTTTTCTTCTTCATTCTAACTTTGTTTGCCCCACCTAAAACGTCGTCATGCAAAAGGAGTCAAAATGGTTTATTAATGTACTATATATATGATTTATTAACAGTGATAGTGTTAATAAATCATCTAGGTATAATCTTTAATTATTGAAATACAATTTTGATTAGAACCATAAAAATCAAAATAGATACAACCGATAGAGTACAAACCTCCCACTGCATTTTTTGTTCCTGTTTCCGTTCCTCCAGAATCTGTAATTATAATCAAATAACAAAACTGTAGTATTTAATAATAAATTTTCATTTCAAGATGTTGATGTTCAAAGTTTAGTTTTTCTTGTTTCCAAACTTAGATAATTAATCTGGTAGGCTTCATTAGTTAAATACTAAAATATATCACAAAATAATGATTACTTATGTTTTATGAGTTCATCTATAAGTTTACCTTCTGAATTATCATTGCTACCACTGCTTTGTCCTCCACCACCACTGCCGTTTTCTCCTCCATCATTATCGCCACCGTCTTTGCCGTAACTTATCGAATATAGCTCAAGAGCATTGATAATAGGAGGCAAAGTAGAGTCATCGGTAGACTGAAGGATCACTTGGGACACTGACGAGGCCACCACATCTTTTACGACAACTTGAGTAACTTTCCCAAACACCGGAACAATAGGACCAGAACCCACTTCCTCTTTATCTAAAAGAATGTTGAACGACCGTGTTTGAGTCAGAGCTAGACTCTGAGGCTCCGAGAAGTATAGAGCTAAGTAAACCGGTATGCCAGCTACGGGTAGGGTCTTGTCTGATAGAATTAAGGTGTCTGCTGACAAAGCCGTTGACATTACAATCTCGGGCGGCTTGTTGGACGCGCCAGAAATGTCGATAGATGGGGCTGAGGTCGTTAATTCACTGATTGTTGGGTCGTTGTTGGAACTTGACTGGAACCATAGCCTACCGTACGGGTCTAAAGGGTAGCTATAATATATTTTCAAGAAACCACCAAAAAGAATAAGAAAAAAACTTAATCAACCAAAAAAAGCTTATAAATAAATGATAATGTGAATGATTTTTAATTAATAAAAACTCATTTACTATGTTTAAATGTACATTAATTAAACGTGAGCTGAATTCAGAAAATCCTCCAAAATATTCACAAAATAAAACGTAGTTCCACTTTAAGCTATAAAACTAACAAAGTTTCGTTTTTAAAAATGTCAATAAACAGATTAAACGTTATATGAATTAGTTAGTGTTAATTGGATTACCCTATAAGCTCTTTGGCACCATAAGCAAATCTTTGTCGAAGAACGAGGCCTTCGTCAGGACCAAGATCTTCATACATCCCATCGTCCAAGTTATGAACTTCAATGGAAGATATGAAAGGATCATCTGAAGGCGACGTACGGACTAAACAAACGCTGATATTGTCACTCGCCGGAGCAAAGATCACCTCTGAGATAAACAGTGAATCAGTAACAACACTGTCAAGGTGTTTCCCATCGTAAACAACGTTGAAAGACGGTGGTGAGGACTTCTTGTCGTAGTTCCCGTAGTAAAACAGCGTTCTCACGAGAGTTTTCCCTCCTTTTGTCGCCGGGATGTTTCTGTAGCAGTTGGTTTGACCGGAAGAGAAGTATCTGAGGTTGTTGACAGGTTCTGTAAGGTTACCCGGAATCTGAAAAGACTCACCGGTCGTGACGAAGCCTTTGTCTCCGAGCCATGTTACCTTGTCGGAGTCCACGTAAGAACTTAAAGCTCCACAGTCAATGCTTATATCTAATGATACGTATACAGAAATAAGAAAAAGAAAACACGATTAGAGAGACCAATGCATGGAGAGATTAGTATTTGTATATGTTAAATGTTACGTACTCTCAGCAAGAGATAATGTTATAGTGGTAAGAGAGAGGAGAGTGATAAGAAGAAGCGTAGCCATGATATCAAATACTTTGCGTAATACACGAATGTATCTATATATAAGATTTATATAATTTGCATAGTTATATGGTTGACTTGACGTATTTGTCATATTATTAAACGCGTTTATATGAACAGTGTGTTAATTTGTAGTTGACTACGATTATATGGACTATGATGGTTTCTGAAATTGTGGTTTTAATGACGATATGATTATGAGGTCAGGAAACGAAGATGGTCATTCTAAGGCTGACGAGCTTTACAATTATTGATTTACGGGTTGTATATAAATAATTAAAATTCAGTTTAGTCGCTTTCAGTTGAAATTCATTTTGAACACTGATATATATTATCCGTATTTGATTTGGATGTATCTATTGGTCAGAGGATTTTGTTATTTAACGTTTGAACTTATTGTATATATATAGTCAACTCATATATGGTTTACCAAAAAAAATCAAAGTCAACTCATGTATTTGGTGTATATATCTTCATTTTTATGTAATAACCATTTTTAATTACTACCAAATATAATTTTTTATGTTTCTTTTTTCATTTTTTTTTTCAATAGCATCAATGATGTTTTTTAAGTTTTATATAAAAAAAAAATCAGGTTATAACTATTGAAAAAAAGAAGAAATAAGTTTATTAAAATTATTATTAGTATTACATATTTTATTATCATACTACAAATTGTATTTAATTATACCGTTTTGCTATTCTATCATATTTTACTATTAAAGACATACATTTCCGGAAATAATTCACACTTGAGTTTGGTCCAACTGATATGATTGAGTGAAATTGGTCCAACATTTTGGGTTTGACTCCGTGTGGAAAGATTTTTGTATTGTTATGGGCTCATATGGGCCCAATTATATAAACTTTGAAAGTAAACAGCTCACGTTCATCCAAATATTTTTGTTCGTTTTGTTTTTAACTCCAGATTCATCCTATATTTTCAAATGGTATTGATACGTACGTATTACAAATCTGTACAAGTATCAATCTAATCATGAATCATGATTCATGAATATTCAAAGATGTGTGGTTGGAATTTCATGTGTTCAGCCGACTTGCTTGCCCTCGCATAACAACATTAGTCGTTGATCATATGTTGAAGCTGGTGTAGGGTTTCGAACGTCGACTAAGAAATAAAGAGTTTTACTCCCTATTCGTGCGTGCAAGCCTTCGTATAATCTCTATCAATTGTGTTTATAAATTCGACCAAATTAGTTATATTAGGTTGTTCCTTCTTAAGAATGTTTTCAGTTTTGTCTTTCCTTCTTAAGTTGTCCACTGACTGAAAGAACAAACCACATGTTATTTCGATCCTAGACATAGAGGTCGGTCGAGACATTTCCTCACGTATTGTCCTTTTTCCGGTATATTTGTGTAACCTAACTAAAAAATTCTCTCAAAAAAGACAAATATGTATTAGGATGTATATAATACAATAGTAAGAGATAAGATAACTGTAGTTAGTCTAGTTTAGTGGTCATAAAGGTCAATTAAATAAACGAAATGGCGTTACATAATGTGGTCCATAAATAAATAAAAAGGTTTCAACTGATCCCACAAAATCGTCGTCGGTATTCATGGTTCATGCCACAATTGATGGAGTTTACGACTTCCCATCCCATTGATCAATCTCAACCACACATAGTCTCAGTTACTTTTCATAATTTTTGCCTATGACTTGCACCATCATTATGATATATACTTCATCATGTTCCATCAAATGCCACTTAACCAAAATTTGAAAGTATGTGAAGTCTTTTCTCAAACAGAAGCAAAATGTCATTTTCGTCTCTTAATTCATTTCAATAATCTTTTCTTATTATTTCAGTCACGAGCTTTGTAACAGGGTATAGCAAATCAAGTAGTCCACCAAACCTATGGTTTTGAGTATTTTGATCCTTAAGATAGATAATTGTATACCATAATTGGTCAAAGACTATTGAAACCGATCAATGGGAAGCTGTGCATGTATAACACCTTTACTCTATGTTGAGTTAAAAAAGGAGAAAACAACAGTCAAAGCTGCCGACAAAAATAAAAAAACCAAACCTATAAACTTACAAAGCAATAAAGTAGAAGAGCCTTTGGTTTTTAACTTTTCAGAGTTAGATGTGAGGAAGACTAAGATAAAAACCATTTAACATAGACGTGGTTCTAACAACACTATGCTATGGGCTTCCACCAATCTTGGTTTACTTAAATATTTTTCCAAAACTTCACTATTCCATCTATCAATTTTTGCCAGCCTACTAAAACAAATAAATATACATTATTAATACATATTTGGTTGCGGTGTCTTGTTGGCTAATAATTCTATTTAAGAATAATGTCACAAGGTGCATTAGTGGGATCTTATTATCTCCCAATTAATAAATCCTAACATGTGTCATGTCCCATATGGTTTTATATAATGGAGTGGTTAAACTAAAATGTTGTCATTCTCTTAAAATCTTGCAACCCCAAAATAAGATATGCATAAATACAAAAAGTCAGAATTAATCTTATCTCTCTTTTTGGAAAACTTTTGACATATAGAACTCCTTGATAATGTCTATAGTAAAATACCAGAATTTATAAGATTTGAAGACATAATTAGTAAGTTTATCATATGTTATATATTTTAATAATATTTAGGCGTTAATCGGCCGATTTTTTTAACTAAATGTTATAAAAATGTAGATGGACAAGAATTTAATTCACTGTTCAAAAGTGAACACAACCCAAAGAGTTTTCATGGATTTAAGTGCTCTCTTCATCGATATTGTCGGAAGTTTGAAAAAAATATCTTCAAAATTCACAAAAAATAAAATTAAAAAATGCAAACCACCACCATAGGCAAGCACCTGAAAATAAAATATCTAACAATTTTTAACAAAATATATTTGGATTTTACTATTTTCCAGTTTCCACGACATATAAAAAACAGCTTTATGCGTTTGACATATTAAATGCGACGAATATTTTTTACGTTTCCTAATCATTTTCTAGAAATTCCTTATTTCTCTTAGCCATTAAAACCAAAAAAAAAGTCAAGAAAACAAAAAAATATACAACCAGAAAAATTTTCGATTTAATTTTATTTCTCATCATCTTCTCTCTTTCTTTCTCCTTCTCTCTGTTCTCATAGAACCAAAACTATAGTCTTGAAGTTCATATTTTTGCAGAGTACACAAAGAATCAAACCACTCTGTAACCAGTCTGGTCTTTGCTGGAACCTTTTCTCTTTTATTGAGTACAGTTTTTGCTATATTTTATTCAAATCCCCAAACCCAACACTCAAAATCTGAAACTTTCTTTTCAGTTTCTTGATCTATTCATTATACCTTGATCAGTCCTTTCATGGGAACGTTACTTCTACTAGATTTCTTGTCTTAAAGGTAAAAACTTTTATTGTTCCTCTGCTTAAATTTTATCACTTTTTATGAAGTTTGGTCTTTTCTTGATCTTAGAAAGTTTCCATCTTTACTTCTTTCAAAGTTCATACTGACAAAAACCCTAATTTCTTAGCTGATTGAATCTTTCTTCTCGATCTGTTCCATTTTCAGGTTTTTTTCTATATTGGGTCAAGATGGGTATTGAAAAGTTTGAAACTTTCATCTTGATTTCAACGATTTCGATCTTGATTTGCATCTGCCATGGATTCAATCCTCAAGATAATTACTTAATCAACTGTGGCTCACCAAGCAATGGATCCTTAATGACTCGAGTCTTCATGTCTGATAAGCTCTCTTCGAACTTGCTTACATCTCCCAAAGAGATCCTCGCTGGGGAAGGCTCAGACATTTACCAGACGGCAAGAGTCTTCACCGGAGTCTCTAGCTACAAATTCTCTGTTTCTCCTGGTCGTCATTGGGTTCGTCTTCATTTCAATCCTTTTGATTACCAAGAATTCAAAATGGGTTCAGCTAAATTCGCAGTTTCGTCTCAAAGTCATGCGCTTTTGAGTGATTTTAGTGTTAAGAGTAGTAAACTTGTAAAAGAGTACTCTTTGAATGTGGATAAGGGTGATTTAGTGCTCACGTTTACTCCCTCTAGTGGTTCATTTGCGTTTGTGAATGCTATTGAGGTTATCTCTGTTCCGGATACATTGATCACTGGTACGCCTAAGTTTATAGGCAGCCCTGCGCAGAGTTCGGATATATCTTTGCTAGCTCTTGAAACTATTCATAGAGTGAACATGGGCGGTCCGCTTGTATCGGCTAACAACGATACTCTTACGAGGACTTGGGTGCCTGACTCGAGTTTTCTGCTTGAGAAGAACTTAGCTAAGACTGTGTCTAAGGTTGCAACTGTTAACTTTGTTAAAGGTTACGCTACAGAGGATTCTGCACCAAGAATTGTCTATGGTAGTTGCACTTCGATGAATTCCGCGGATAACCCGAGTAGCATTTTCAATGTCACATGGGAGTTCGATGTTGAGCCGGGTTTTCAGTACTATTTCCGCTTCCACTTCTGCGATATCCTTAGTGTGTCTCTAAACCAGCTATATTTCAATCTGTATGTTGACTCAATGACTGCTGCTACAGATATTGATCCCAGCATTTTTGTGGATAACACACTGGCTGGAGCATACTTCATGGATTTTGTTACGCAGTCGCCGAAGGGTACTAATAAAGTCCGTGTGAGCATTGGTCCGTCAGCTATTCACACAGATTATCCAAACGCTATTGTGAACGGACTGGAGATCATGAAGATGAATAACTCTAAAGGTCAGCTAAGTACCGGACCAGCTGTACCCGGTAGTAGTTCAAGCACTAAGCAGAGTAATGTTGGGATGATTGTAGGTTCAACCATTGGTTCGTTGCTCGCGTTAGTCTTCATGGGATGTTGCTTTGTGTTGTATAAGAAGCGGAAACGTGGCCAAGATGGTCATTCAAAGACTTGGATGCCGTTTTCAGTAAACGGAATTTCGGCTACAATGGGAAGCAAATACTCCAACGGAACTACTCTTACAAGTATAACTACCAATGCCAATTACCGTATTCCCTTTGCTGCGGTTAAAGACGCAACAAATAACTTTGATGAGAGCCGCAACATCGGGGTGGGTGGTTTTGGTAAAGTCTACAAAGGAGAGCTTAATGATGGCACGAAGGTAGCTGTGAAAAGAGGAAACCCGAAATCTCAGCAAGGGCTTGCGGAATTCAGGACAGAAATCGAGATGTTATCGCAGTTTCGTCATCGCCATTTGGTTTCTCTGATCGGTTATTGTGACGAGAACAATGAAATGATACTGATATACGAGTATATGGAGAATGGAACTGTAAAGGGTCATCTTTATGGCTCAGGTAATCCTAGCTTAACGTGGAAACAACGGCTTGAGATCTGCATTGGCGCGGCTAGAGGATTGCATTACCTCCACACGGGTGACTCTAAACCGGTCATTCACAGAGACGTGAAATCTGCAAACATATTGCTCGATGAGAACTTCATGGCTAAAGTTGCAGACTTTGGACTGTCCAAGACTGGACCCGAGCTTGATCAGACTCATGTAAGTACTGCTGTGAAAGGAAGTTTCGGGTATCTTGACCCTGAGTACTTCAGAAGGCAACAGCTCACTGACAAATCCGATGTTTACTCCTTCGGGGTTGTTCTCTTCGAGGTTCTTTGTGCTAGACCTGTTATAGACCCAACACTTCCAAGAGAGATGGTGAATCTTGCTGAATGGGCAATGAAGTGGCAGAAGAAAGGGCAACTAGATCAAATCATTGATCAGTCTCTTCGCGGTAATATCAGACCAGATTCGTTAAGGAAATTTGCAGAAACAGGCGAGAAATGTTTGGCGGATTATGGAGTCGATAGACCATCTATGGGAGATGTGTTGTGGAATCTTGAATACGCTCTGCAGCTTCAAGAAGCAGTCATTGATGGCGAACCAGAAGATAACAGCACGAATATGATTGGTGAATTACCTCCACAGATCAACAACTTCAGTCAGGGAGACACAAGTGTTAACGTTCCTGGCACAGCGGGGCGATTCGAGGAATCGAGCATTGACGATCTCTCTGGGGTTTCAATGAGTAAAGTATTCTCTCAACTGGTGAAATCCGAGGGAAGATAGTGAGAGATTTGGCAATGTAGTGTGATTCTTACAGAAGCAGAAGCATGTAACCAGGAAATGCATCAGGTTTTTTCAGATAGGATCTTTTGTCTCTGCTCAACCTGTTTCTTCTGCAGATCTTCATCAGTTATGATACAAATACTTTTGAAACGTTTCCTCTGTTTTTTTCATTTTTCTTCCTCACTCAGTCACTCCCTTATCCTGAGTTTGTATTTTATTGATGTTCATTTGAAGTTGTCTAATATTTGTTTGTTCTTTTTATTCTATGGATGTATAACACACTCTTGTTGTTTCATTCAACTGTACTGTAAGTTTAGAAGTCAAAATCTAGTTCTGTCCTGTTCTTTGTTTGGTTTCAGAAACCTGTTTATTTCACATTTTGTCTTGGAACAATACAGGCCCGGTTCCGTTGGTTTGTTTGTTTCATTCACCACGACCAAGTCTTGAACAACGTTGTGTCCAATTCAGTTTGGTTTGGAGTTTAAAACAATCATCAATAGTAAATTTCCAAAGAAGTTATTTTACTATGTTATTCTCATCTTTAATGGCTAATTTTTTGCATCAATGATCAAAATTAGTAACCTTACTTGTGGACGCACAAGACAAACATTTCCATACTAGTCTGAAAACAAACGACCTAGACGTTTTGTTCTTCTTCATAGCTTTCTTCGTCGCCTTTATACGGCTTCCTCCTCCAAAACAACTCCGGTCAACGGCTTCACCACCACCGTCATCTTCGTTTTCTTTTGTGGTAAAAGTGTAGCTTCTAAGGTACATTTGCCTACAAGATATGCTGTCAACAACCTTGGTGCGACGCTGGCTACCGCAATGGGTGATTGATCGTACAAACTCCGCCTCCGCCATTGGCCACTTGTAAACATTACCGTAAGTCACAAGCGGCCGGACGCCATTGCTGTGGCTTGTGATGACTACACAATCATCTATGCATTTGGAGGCCATATTTGGTTGCTTTTTTTTTGGAGGGTATTTCTAACTTTTAGTGTAAACTCCTAAATTTGTTGTGAACGTTGGGTGTATAGCTTATATATAAATTCGTGAACCCTTATCCTTGTCAAAAAATGTTACTTTTATTTCGCGATGTAAGTTACCAAGTCAGAGAAAAAAATTGAGAAGTTTTCTCAACTTGATACGCCATATTTTGTATACTTGTCAACAGTGTTAGCATTACCCACAAAGGAGAAGGTCTCTAACATCCCTAAGATATCTCCCCATATCCTTCGCTCTCTTTATGCCCAAATACAAGTACACTTAAATCAAATGATTATCATGTTTCTATAAGACTTGCTAAGGTTTTTTTTTTTTTTTTTTTTCTCATCTAGATTTTTATTAATAATATCATGGTGATGAGATACTTAGTGGAAAACAAAATTAAGCCAGCGGATGACAAGATTCCTCTAAAGCTAAAGACGTATACAAAAAACAAATGATGGATGCTAAAATGCTTATAAATAAAAGTAACATAACCTAAAAAACGACACAAAGAAAACATATCAAGCCTAACAAAGAATCCTATTTCGAGGAGATTATTTGCTAGTACATATCGAAGATGTTCACATCCAACCATCCATAATCAAATTCTACTATAATAATGTTAGACTATATAAAAGTAACGTAGCTCTTAATTTTGCTAATTCTCTTAAGATAGAAAAACTCAGTACCTCACACTTTATTCGAATACGAAAACATAAACAAAGCGACAATTTATGTCTAAATACTGTAGAAGTAGAACCATATGACCAAACTACGATATGATGTGAAAATGAGAGACAAGATTAAAGAGAGAAAATCCAATAAAGCCTTATAATTAAGTTAAGAATGATAATTTTGTATCTATCAAGTTCTTCAAACGAGCATTAAATTTCTTGAATGCATTCAAAAACATTTTATAATTCTCTAAATACTCAACTTCTTTAGGTAATACCTTATGACACTACATACGTATATCGATTCCACGTATCTTAATTTTAATCCACTGTTTGATATTGAATATTGACTCTTTCTGGTGTGATCTCTTAGGGTTCCATTCTATGTTAACGCTTGTATTACAGAAACCGTAATTTTCTTAACTTAAATTTCAAAAAGTTACATATATATTGAAACCCATCACAATGATATATTGATATAAACTTATAGGCATTTTATTCTTCTGTTGATTGATAAAATCACTTCACTCATCAACATTAATCTTATTTATTAGGGGAACTACAAAGCAAATATTTCCTTAAGAATCTGACCACAAACGACCTACGCGACCTGATCTTACTCCTCCTCGTACATTTCTTCGCGACCTTCTTCCACCCTCCTCCTCCTCCTCCAAAACATCTTCGAAGATTATCACCGTCTTCATGTTGTTCCTCTTTTCTTGAAAACGTATAGCTCCTAAGGTACACTTGCCTACAAGATATGCTTTCCACCGCTGTGGTACGACGCTGGCTTCCCCCGTGGCTGATTGATTGTATGAACTCCGCCTCTGCCGCTGGCCACTTGTGAATTTTGGCGAAAGTTGTACCCGGCCGGACCCAAATGGCATTGTCTTCGATGTTTAAACATTCACTTATGCATTTAGAAGCCATGGTCGAAATCTCTCTAGTTCTTCTTCTCTTTGATGCAATGTTTTGGATTTTATGGATATATATATATATAATAATTATTATAAGAAGAGATTTTTTGGAAATAATATCCTGACAACGAATAAAGTTGACTGTAAAAGTTTAGAGTCAATAAGACTCACTTCCATAATTTTTTTGATAATTATTAAGTGTATTCAGAATTTTTGGTATAGTAAAAGGAAAGGTTTTGATTCATTTTTGACTAACGCCAAAAATAGAAATGGAAAGAAAGATTTTGACAACAAATTTATGTCTTTGTTGAATACAAAGTACACAGACAACCTTACTATATCTTTGTCTGTTGCAGTTTTCACATACTCACAATAAGAGACATTCTTTTTATTACACAATCAGATTACAGGACATGCTCTGTCAAACCTTAATGACATACTTATGATATAATATTATCAGTAAATCCAAAATATATTTACACAATGATACTGATTTGTACTAATTAAAAGGAGCATCAGTGATGATGTCGGACTAAAACGGATCATATATATAAGACAATTTATGACGCTTAATTATGTTAGTTCGTCAGAATTGGACTAGCATGCATCATCACAATACTTTAATGTCACATTCGGTCTATATATAATTACGCTGATTTGAAAACATAGTTGTATTAGAATTTACCCCGTGGTACACCACGGGTCCATAATTTAATATATTTGTTTGATTGGTCATTTTCGTACTTGGTTTATATAGTATTGTTTTATACGTGTTTATTTCATTTGATTTTACATAATTTTATGAATCTGTATTATAAGTAGATTCATAGATATATGTGGTTAACCCGCGGTACACCGCAGAATAATTTTGTCGTAAAACAAATTATATTTTAACTTAACCCGTAACAATATTTTAGTATAGACAACCCGTAAGAAAAATATAATCATATTTATGTAAACTCAAATCCGTCCAATCATATTTATGTACAATATTATTATATTTTAAAATATTTAGAGTTAAAATATTAATAATACTTTAAATCAAATGTTATAACATTATTGCATTAGTAAGAGTTTCTGTAATATTTTAAACCTTTCCAAGAAATTAAAATTTATAATATTTTGAAACTTTTTAAAAATATATTTTTCTTAAATATATAACATGATTAAACAGAATAATTTTTTTAATTTGGATGCCTAAGAAACCAAATTTCATGCTCATTTGTAGTTGGAAACATATTAGTCATATTTATAATGGTTTTGAACTCTTATATGAACATTTTTCCTTTATTAATTGAGTTATATACGTCCGTTTTCAAAACTTTAAATTGCAAAATGTGTGGAAAAAAATTTGTGTTTTTATTATAAATATTTTTATGTAATAATATACATGGAAAATAAATAAGATTATATAAATATATTGGAGAGAGATTCAAGTTATTAGAGAGATATTTTAGGAATTTTTTTTGATGTAATAAATATTTGTTTCCAATTTTGAGATTTGCTTGTGATTTAATTACAAAATTTACTTTAAGTTTTGTTATTTATTCAAATGGCAAGGGTTTGATTATGCAAATATTACAAAATAAAAGGTTATAACCCAAAATAGATTTTAGTACAAAATGTACTTCAAAAATGTTAAGATAGATAGACTAGATTTTAGATTTTTAACCATCTATGTCAATAACATTAAGCCGTTATTATCGATTTATAATCAACGGTAAATCGTTATTATCGATTTATGATCAACTAGTCTATAAAGGTAAATCGTTATTATACTAGTGGGCCGCAACAGTCGTGGTGAAATATCATTTAGTGGGCCTGAAATAGGACCATTACTTTTTCTCGCTTTCAAGAATCGTATAAATAGCGAAAAATGCGTGCCGTTTCAAGTTTAATAATCATCACTCAATTTCTTTCCTTGTAAGCTAAATGCGTGTCGTTTTGATAACCAATTTAATTCGTGTGTTTATACAAACTTCGTGTCGTTTTCTCTGAATAGAAGAAGCGAGAGCTAAATAGAGGTAAAACGCAAACGCATATATTTATCCCAAACAACATTACAACGCTAAACGCAAACGCAAATCGATTCTGAAAATTCCAAATGACATTATAGCTAAAACGCGTTCCTAGAAAATACAAAAGCAAACGCTAAAATCCTTAACCGCCGAATCCGTAAAGAGTCCTTCCTTGTCTCTTGAGAGCATAAACCACATCCATGGCGGTCACCGTCTTCCTCCTTGCGTGCTCGGTGTAAGTAACGGCGTCACGGATAACGTTCTCCAAAAAGATCTTGAGGACGCCACGTGTCTCTTCGTAGATCAGACCACTGATACGCTTGACGCCACCTCTACGAGCCAATCTACGAATCGCCGGCTTAGTGATTCCTTGGATGTTGTCTCTCAGAACCTTCCTGTGACGCTTCGCTCCTCCTTTGCCCAACCCTTTGCCTCCCTTTCCACGGCCTGACATTTTCTCGGAAAGTTTCTCGGGAAATAAAAATGGATTGAAGATTTAACAGTGTTGAGATTTGAGATGAATCGAGTAATTTGGTAAAGAGGAGAGGTGAGTTTATATATAGAAGACGGATCCACTTAATTTAAGCCGTTAGATGTTTTTTATGATCCAACGGTTGTAGATGTCGATTCGGGTGAAAAGTTATTTTACATCTTAACCGTTGATTTTTCTTTATCGACGGTTATAAGTATCGATCCGCGTGATGCTTGTTAGTGAAAATTTATGAATTTTTCAATTAAGCGCCACATATTGGTGAACATAGCGCCAATTTTTTTTTAGTTTATTTCACCATTTTTTCTTAATTAATACTTCATTAACGAAACCTTATGATAATTTTTTGCCTCGTAACATTTAACATACAGTATATGATATATATATATATATATATATAGATTACAAATGTGTAATTTTGTATTTAATTCTAAATAAAGAAAACTATTTCACAATGGTTATAAAGCCTTTATAACATAGAGTGATATATATACATCGAAGGTTTGGTTTGTATTCAGAAGAACTCGTATATGTTATCTTGCTTTAGGCTTCACGTCGTCGTTATCAAAGGTTACAGTCACATTTAGATCAACCGAGCTATGACTAGACTCCATGTTTTGGTTCCTACTTATCCTTGCATTTTCAGAAGCAAGACACTCTTTGAGATTGATTATAACTTGTGACATGTTTGGTCGTTTGGCTGAAGAAGGATTTGCGCATGACATTGCTACTTCGAGAGCTCTCCAGACAGAGCGAGTGTCATAGTTCCCGTGAAGTTTTGGATCCACGATCTGACTAGTGTCTCCTTTCTTGATCACAAATGTAACCCATTCTGCTATGTTAGGGTTTTCACGGGTTTGATCAATCACTCTTTGGTTTGTGATGATCTCTAGTAGTAAGATCCCGAAGCTATACACATCACTTTTCTCAGATAACTCACTTGTCAAGTAATATCTGTAAAAGCAAGAAAATGGAGTAAGATTGATATAGAGTTTACAGTTCTTGAAACATTTACATGAAATGAAAACATATTAATTAAAACCATGGTGTAAGATGATGAATATACTTACTCGGGATCAAGGTATCCTAAAGTACCAGCAACAACTGTTGATACTTGAGACTGATCCCCTCCAACTTGAAACGATCTAGAGAGTCCAAAATCCGCAATCTTGGCCTTGAGATGTTCATCCAAGAGTATATTCGTACTTTTGACATCTCTATGCACCATGGCTGGTTTGCATCCAGTATGCAAGTATTCTAATCCTAATGCAGCTTCGATAGCTATTTGCAATCTAGTACCCCAATTTAAAACAGAGCCACCCTGTTTTCCTACATCAAATGATTTTTTATCATCAACATCTTAAAGCTACACTAACCATCATGCGAAATCACATATATTTTTACGGAATACAATGTTGAAAAAATGTATATAATACTAATTCCACCATTATTTAATTAATTATCTTCATTTTATGATCCATAAAAGATTCCTATGATTTATGTTTGTGTTCACCTGATAAATGCTGGTGTAAGTCTCCATTAGACATGTATTCATAGATGAGAGCAAAGTGATCTTGTTCATCGCAGTATCCAACAAGGCTTACCAAATTTATGTGGTGAACCCTTAGAAGTAGTTCAACCTAGTGGCCATGTAAAGCAGACACACATAAGCATATAAACTTTGGTTTAATAAACTACACTTCTTTTTGCTTATCAATTATATGGGGGACAGTTAAAACATTTTGTACCTCTGCCTTAAACTCTTTATAGCCTTGTGCTGATGTTTGGGAAAGTAGTTTGACAGCTACTTGCTCTGAGCCATCTAGATCACCATGATAGACAATTCCAAATCCTCCTTCACCAAGAGGTCTTTGTAAGTTGTTAGTCATTTCCATAACCTCTGAATAAGTAAACCTTTTCTTCTTTGTCTTGATCCATGGCTCAGACTTATTTCCTGCATGTAAAGCAAATGCAAGTATATAGCTAAAAATTAATTTATGGTTGTTTCTTGATTTTAAAGAGGTTGTTGCAAACATTCCATACTTGATGACATTTTCTTCTTGAACACAAAAAGGAGGATCACCACAATGACGACGATGGTAGCAATGGAAGCAACCGGTGCAACAATCGTCACTGGAAGTTTCTTCTTTGGCTTATCTATGCATGTATTGGATAGACAAAGATACTTGTTTCCAACGACACTACAAAAGAAAAAAGTTAGAATTCATAAGCTCAGATAGTGATTAGGTATAAAAGCATGTGATAATCTTTCTTACTATAACTTTAGTCCTTTCCTTTCTCTATCGCGAAGAGCTTGTGGAATTGAACCACTAAGATTGTTCCCGCTCAAGTTTCTGTCGAAGTAGAAGAATATTTCATATGTTACACAAAAATAACTCCTGTGGATGAATCAATTAGTAAATAAATTGAGAAACTTTATTACATGACCAACAATGATTTCATAGAGGCTAGAAACTCAGGCACAACTCCATTCAAAGTGTTATTTGACAAATCCCTGAGATGTGAAAAAAATGAACCATTATTTGCTTTGTATATGTATCAAACAATCTGTAAGAAAAAGAAAAAGAAAAATCTTTAAGTAACGATCATATATACTTACAAACTTTCTAGATGAGTTAGATTCTGAAAGTCAGATACTATGGTGCCACTCAAGCCAGTCGAAGATAAATTTCTGGTTAAACATATTAAAAGTTAATTAAGACTTTATGGGAAACATGATATACATATCTGTTTTATAATTAAGTCTTGTGTGAGAATTACATAAATAGAGCTTACAAAGAAATTATTCTTGGTGGTGTTGATATATCATCTGTGATGTTACAATTCAATCCATCCCACAAGAATTGCTTGGGGACGCATGGATCGCCTTGCCAAGTGATTCTACTTAGTCTATACTTTGATTTGATATTCTTGATGGCAACCACTAGCATAACAGTTGCATAAATTGGAGAAAAATATTTAATGAATTAGATTTCATGTATCATTCATATAAAACAAGCAAAGAAAAAAAAAGGAACTATCTATGCTTGATACCTTCACTTTCAGTTGTTTGAGATTGTGGAAGCTGAAGAACTGAGTAAACTTCAAAAGCATTAAGTAGAGGTGGAAGTGTTGATCTTTGGGTTTTTATTAACTGCAAGCGGCATATACCTCCTTTGCATTGCCTAGGATTTGTTGTGAGCCTAGTCGTTATTTCAAGAAACTTAGGACTAATAACACCAGTGTTAATTGTTTCCCCATTCAATACAAAGTCGAATTCTCTAGTTTCATTGGCCTTTAGGACTTGGATCTCCGAGAAGTGCATGAAAAAGTAGAGTTGCTCATCAGGGTTCTCCAAACTCCAAACCATCATCAGTGGCGCATCAAGATTTGTAGGTGTTGCCGCGGCCTTAAGCGCAACTTGAGGTGGATCATAGTGATTTTTATTGGACACATTTGCAGTTGTTGAGATTTGTGTCCACTCGGGTTGAGTATATGGTACCCATGAACGATCATAAACATCTTTTGGGTACCTATCACAAACTCACAATCTTTCTCTTAGTATTGTTTGTCAAAAAGTAAAATGAGTAAGACTCTTAAGTACTTCCCAAGCTTCTTTAATATTTAAATGCAATGATCATGTACATATATGATTTAAAGTTAAGTACGTACCTAAGAAGAACCGTAGCATTGCTAAGATACATGCGAAAGTAATGTTTCAGGGAACCAGATTTAGCGATGTAAGTATCACTGGCCAAAGGTCGTAGTTCCAAAGCTGATATCATTGGTGTAGTTGACCCTGTCTTAAAAAGACAAATTTGCAAAGAGTTTGATCTTGAGATGTGAATGATCTCCTTCACTGTACCATCTGGCACTAGTTGCATATCTATTGTTGTCCACTTATTAGGACCAATATGCATATCGAATCCCGGGAAAACATTAAGCCCGTCGAAATTTCCATAGAAAAACGTTGCTCTAGTAAGATAGTTCCTCCCTTCTTCCACCCTTAGATCATAGCAGTTTCGTATTCCATCGGGAAAGTATCGTAGTGTTGCGTACTGTTTTAAATTTTCCGGTTCAAGATTTTTCGGAATTCTACCTATCTTTCCACTTTGTATGAAGTTCTCGTCTGATGAGAACCGTATTCCAGTTTCCGATTCTGTATAAGGGGGCTCATTCAAAGGCAAGCCACAATCTAAACTGATAAAGCCTGTTAAGAAATGAATCATATGAATGATGAAAAAAAGTGTTGAGTCATAGGCATGGGTGTATATAGGGGAAAGAGTAGTATATAACATCTCATAAATCCAGGTTTGAATTTGGTCCCATCTCCTTTGAGGGGACTTGTATGACAAAATTAGTCTAAAATGTCCCACTACATGTGTTGTGTTACTAGGAAATAAAAATAACTAACAAAAATAGAGAAATTTTGTTAATAGTATTAGTGGTCTAAAAAACAAAGCGCTTATTTATGCTTAATGGTCAGACAGGGCATGAGACATGCATACCTTCTTGATCTTGTGCTTCAGTAAGATGAAGGATGAGAGAAACTTCAAACCCAAGCAACGCCACAAGAAGACAACGAAGACTCTTCATGATTCTGATCACAATCTGAAGCTATAAAATCATGTATTTGTATATTCATGTATTTCGGAAAGATCAACGCATGCACACTTATGTACTCACGTTTCACTTATATATACTAGATGTGAAGACACATGAATTAAGCTTCACATATAGACATCAATTAAACGAAGCTAAAGTCAACCATATGAGAAAACGAGTGACTATGGATATAACTTTTGATTCAAGAAAATCAAGTGAAGGAGTGAGCAATGATGTTTTCTAGTGAAACATCACTGTCGCAAGATTAATATATTGTAAAAGCACTCGAAAAGTCTTCATGCATGTCGTACATGCGTATACGACCAGGTCTTATCACAACCTTGATTAGAGAATTTTGATTGGTGCAAATTAAATTTATTTCTTAAGTCTTGATGGTTTTTAAAATTGCAACTAGCATAAAAACCAAAGATATTTTTTTTGTAGAAATATTATGGGATTTTATATAACCACCATTACGCGCATGAAGAATCATTAAGACAGTTGACTTTCGGCATAGACTTGCATGTATACTATTTACAAACATGTCAAAACTCAAAAGCTTTGTGTATTTTAAGGATGTGCGTCGCCTTCAATCCTTTGTCCGCTTCTGATGGTCGAACCGTTTTTGACTGTCTTCATATTTTGTGCGTTCGCTGAGGAGTAGAGTTTTAATGTGTGTATGTTTTGTGGTCAGATTGGTGGTAAGCGGACCAAAACAAATAAGTTTGAATCCATGGTGCAACTTGCAAATGCATATGTTTGATTAGGTTAAAACGAATATCATCTGGATGTCGATGATAGCATTTTAATGCATAAACTAAAAAAAAATACATTTTAAAACAAGAAAGTGTTCAAAATTGAGTGAAAGTGATACCGGATCATGGACATCCTCGACTTAAACCTCTAGCAACACTTCCACTAAAGAAACCTACAAAAAATGCTTATAATTAAATTAATTATAAAAATTAAATTAAAATAATAGAATAGCTGTATACGATACTTATACTACAAAAGGAGAAAAGATGATCGATTCTTCCATTGTCTATAAAGGGATAGATTCTTTTAATTATGGACCTCCTTTTTATTTATTTTATTTTATTTTTGGTTTATAAAACCAATTAGTACCTGTATTAGGATTGCCACTGGAGGTGGCCTAACGCACCTTTAAACAGATTTAAAGATCGGAACAATTCAAGTCAACGTAAGGAATATCTCAGTTTGAACATTTCGTTACTAGCCATTTGGTTGCTATATCGACTATCCTTTCCATTAATAGTTTCTTTAAAATAATGAACACAAGCTGAACTTTCTAACCAAGAAACTGACCAATATTAAGTAATTTACTAGCCACTAGAAATTAAATGTATTATTACTCATTCATCAATTAAGTTTCTTAGTTGTACATAAACTATGACATGTTTTCACGTTTATAGAGAATCGTCTTGGTAAGCCTTTTGCTTGAAATTTCTAAAGGACTAATGTGGTCCAATTCCTTATATAAACTTCATTTATGGTTGAGAATTTGGGGCAGTGACTTTCTTGTTTTTTGGAAAGTAAGAGCCTATGGAGAGTCATCCCCATGAAGTTTTGTTTGTTGCACTTATCGCAACATTTGCTATTTTTCACATTGCTCAAGCTCAAGATCAAGAAGGTATGTGTATCCACATTGTTGAGATCTTTATATTGTTTTGTAGTAGAATTAAAAAAAATAAACAAATCACGAATTTGAATCAATATTATGTTCTCACCAAAAATTGTGAAATGACCTTCCCACCAAATTACGGATTCATGTTTGATGTATCTTTAGAATCACATTTTTTGCAAAAATTGAAGAAACATGCTTTTTCAGCAAATTTTTTGATAATATAACAGCGATACTGATACAAACCACGTAGACCAATATGCTACATGGTTTGGTGTAATATAAAAAATATTTGTAACTCTGTTCTCTTATAGCTGGTCCATCTTATAGTCCTAATTGAATCCCTTAGTGACCGATTTAACAGTGGATCATTAGTGTATTGGAAGTTTTCATCATGTAGTTTTTGGATATAACAACACATGAGCATCCTTGGGTGTGTTAACTTTACTTGTACCGTAAAACCATCATTAACAATTTGTAATGATCCATTAACTGATCTCTTGTATACCTTAACAGGGTTCATCAGTTTGGATTGTGGTTTATCCCCGAACGAAGTGTCACCATATATCGAACCGATTACTGGACTACGGTTTTCATCAGACGCAGGCTTCATTCAAAGTGGACAAATTGCTAGAGTTGATAAAAGTCTCGAGGCCACGTCTCTAAAGTCATACATGACGCTAAGATACTTTCCAGATGGACTACGCAACTGTTACAATCTTAGTGTGAACCAAGGGACAACTTATTTGATGAGAGCTACAGCTCTATATGGAAATTATGACGGCCTTAAAGCTTTTCCTAAGTTTGACTTATACATAGGCCCTAACTTTTGGGTAACAATAGACATGCAAAAATATGGAGACGGTCAAGCTGAGGAGATCATTCACATCCCAAGATCAAATTCCTTAGACGTATGTCTTGTTAAAACAGACACGTCGACGCCAATTATATCACTCTTGGAATTCAGGCCACTAGATAATGATACATACATCACTGGTTTGGGTTCCTTGAAAAATTTCATGCGGTTCTATCTTAGCAAGTCAGAATCAATTGTAGCGTAAGTCTTCTTAAGATAATTTTGAGTTATGTTTGGTCATTTAGTTGTTCCTAGTTACGTACTAATGATGTTATTAAAATTTGTGAAGCACAGGTTCCCAGAAGACATCAAAGACAGGATATGGGAACCATACTTTGAGTCAGAATGGACACAAATTTCCACCACTCTTAAAGCCAACAACTCCGATGATGGTTATTTTGTGCCGCGAAATGTGCTCATGACCGCAGCAATTCCTGCCAACGCTAGTGCACCGTTGAGTTTCACCGGGGAGCTAGATTCTCCTAATGACGAACTTTACTTGTACCTCCACTTCTCTGAGGTCCAGGCACTACGGGCCAACGAGTCTAGAGAGTTTGACATTTTGTGGAGTGGAGACGTTGTTTACGAAGCTTTAAGGCCTGAATATCTGAACATCACGATAATTCACTCTCCTCCACTTACTTGCGAAGGAGGAAAATGCAACTTACAGCTGAAAAGAACTAAAAACTCTACTCTCCCACCTCTTCTCAATGCCATTGAAGTTTACACGGTACTCAAGTTTCCACAGTTGGAAACAAATAAGAATGATGGTACGTATGTTAGTAACTGTATATAAAAGTTCTAAACACATCTCTTATGCTAAATCTAACATTTTCATTGTTGCATTTTATGACAGTTGTTGCTATCAAAGACATCAAAGCCACCTATGAATTGAATAGAATCACATGGCAAGGAGATCCATGTGTCCCGCGAAAGTTTTTGTGGGATGGTCTAGATTGCAACAGCACAGATACATTAACACTACCAAGAATCACATCATTGTGAGATATTTATATAGCACAATCTTTTTAAATATTTTATCTGATACATCGATTGAGACAACGAGAAAAAGGTTTAGTCACTCAGAGGTTATGGAAATGACAAAGAACTTCCAAAGACCACTTGGTGAAGGAGGGTTTGGCGTTGTTTATCATGGTGATATAAATGGTTCACAACAAGTAGCCGTTAAACTACTTTCCCCATCATCAACACAAGGCTATAAAGAGTTCAAGGCAGAGGTAACAAAAATCTTTTCGGAAGTATAGATGATATGCTAAACAAATGTGTTTTCAATTAATGTGTTTTTTTTTTTGGGTGTACAGGTTGAACTTCTGTTACGAGTTCATCACATAAACTTGGTAAACCTTGTAGGGTATTGCGATGAACGAGATCACTTGGCTCTTATCTACGAATACATGTCCAATAAAGACTTAAAACATCATTTGTCAGGTAAAAAATTGTATGACATTACATACACAAATAAATTATAAATTTATAATGGAAAAGAAAAATTATGATAGCTGATTTGAGAATCTACTATAGGAAGACACGGTGGCTCTGTTTTGAAGTGGGGTACTCGACTACAAATCGCCGTCGATGCCGCATTAGGTTCGACCTATCTCAAAATAGTTACACTCACTTGTTTTTTTTTTTATCACAAAATATTTCATGGGATCAATGAACACAAATCACTGACATATCAAATGGAACTCATTAATTCTCAACAAATATTCTTATTATTACTTAAAAGAATGTAACACTCATGAACGACCTATACATCATATAGTTGAAATAATATTCCACAATTTTGATAAACTTGTTAAAATGATGAAGGTAATAGTTTTGGAATTTTAGAATGTTTGTATATATATTGTTAAGATCACGCGTTGAAAGTTAAAAAGGGTTTAATCTTATGTTTGTAGGACTAGAATACTTACATACTGGATGTCGACCATCGATGGTGCATAGAGATGTCAAAAGTACAAATATACTGCTGGACGAGCAATTTACAGCTAAAATTGCTGATTTCGGGCTGTCAAGATCTTTCCAACTTGGAGATGAATCACATGTTTCAACCGTTATTGCTCCTGGATATCTTGATCCCGAGTAAGTATTATATAACTTAACTTCATTAAAAATTTCTCTTACATATAACTATGAGATATAGAAAATTTGTACTATATATATTCTTTGCTTTTCAAGATATTACAGAACAGGTCGGTTGGCTGAGATGAGTGATGTCTACAGTTTTGGGATTGTATTACTGGAGATAATCACAAACCAACGTGTAATAGACCAAGCCCGCGAACAATCTCACATAACAGAATGGATGGCATTTATGCTTAATAGAGGAGACATTACAAGAATTATGGATCCTAACCTTCATGGAGATTATAACTCTCGTTCTGTCTGGAGAGCTCTTGAATTAGCAATGATGTGCGCCAACCCTTCATCAGAAAAACGACCAAGCATGTCCCAAGTTGTTATCGAGCTAAAAGAGTGTCTACGTTCTGAAAATAAAACCGAAGGCGTGGATTCTTATAGTTCCTTTGAACAAAGCATGAGCTTTGATACCAAAGCTGTCCCCAGTGCAAGGTAGTATTTGCAAATACGCCTTACTCGGGTCATGTCGATTAGTTTATGATTATGGTATTCTTTTGGCCAGACGAGAGTGCTTAAATTTTTCTTATGAGACATCATAACTAAACATGAGAGGAAATTTGCAACTCCTTTGGTCTCTCGTGTTCTCTCTTATATTAGTTTTTGTGTGTTTGAAATGTGCTGGTGTTTCTTACCACATTCGTAAGCTCATTCTTGAGAATAAAATTCAAGAGACACTAACTTGACGTCCTTCTTGAGTGCTTTTCTCACACTAAAAAGACAATAAGATGGAAAAACCATCTTATATGTATTGCAAAATTTCAGAATTTATATTGTGATATAGATGGTTAATGCATTGACCATTCACGGTCCGAAATCAGTCCTGTCCCAATATTATATTTATGGCCAATCTCAATAACGAATCCAGAATTATATCTACTGGATCCAATCGAAGCAATGAATCAACCGTTACGCTTCTATTAAAGTTTTGATGGATAGAGCCGAACCTAATGACTTCTTCACACCCTTTTTGAGGGGTTTGAACATCAAACCAATTTAAGTCAACGAGCCCATATGGTTTTTTATCTTTGATTAAAACTTTTTGTTTATTTGCAATGGGTTTGCAATGACTTTCACCCGTCTTTGTTGAGAAGTTATTTTAAAGTAAACAAGACAAGTTGAGTAAAAAATGCTGCCCCAGTGCCCACTAGCGAACGTACTTGTCCTCTTTTAATTAAATCTTCTTTGTAGAACAGACACATTATTTTACGTTAGCGTGACCTGTTCACACCAATCCGAGGCTTGACCATTTTTATCCTATGTAATTGCCGAGTCGTGGCTTGTTCAGCTCTTTCGCTCTTTCGCTTGAAACGTCCAAATGAGCTTTGTGAGCACGTTGGTTATAAGCTAGGGTTCATATTTTGCTTGGGAATTGAAGAGAATATGGAGCGTCTATATATGTTTTTATTGGTGGCACTGCTATTAGCCCGTGTTCAAGCTCAAGAAAAAGGTACCCACACTAGCTTTATAAATGTTCAGAGCACAGAATATTTTCATTACGTTTGTAAAGAAGAAAATGCTTATGGGGATGTCATATAACTTAGATGGGAAAGGTCTATCTAAATAATTGGTAATGTTGTAAAACTTCCAAGAAGAGAATCTGATTGGTCAACTAGTTAAATGAGTTTGAACTTTGAACCATTAGTTAGCTTTAACCTCTTCTATATTTTTTTTTGTACAGGGTTCATCAGTTTGGACTGTGGGTTGTCCCCTAATGAACAATCTCCTTATACCGAGCCTGGGACTGGATTAAATTTCTCATCAGACTCAAGCTTCATCCAAAGTGGAAAAATTGATAGAATTGATCCAAAACTAGAGTCGGGGTACGCAAAGTCAAAGACGTCATTGAGATACTTTCCAGACGGGGACCGGAACTGTTTCAATCTTACTGTGGATCAGGGAACAAAATATTTGATCAGAGTTACAAGTAACTATGGGAACTATGATGGTCTTAACAGTCCTCCAAGATTTGATTTGTACATAGGCCCTAATTTCTGGGTTTCAGTAGATTTGGGGTTGGGAAAGCTAGTAAATGATGATGGTGATAAACATGATAAACGGGAGGAGATCATTCACATCCCAAAGTCAAACTCTTTGGATGTGTGTCTTGTTAAGACAGGCAGTTCAACGCCAATCATATCGTCCTTGGAACTAAGGTCTCTACCAAGTGATACTTACAATATTAGTAATAATATTATGTCAAGTTCTTTGAAGTTGATACAAAGGTTATACCTAACCCAGTCCAAAACAGTTATACGGTAAGTCAGATTTAATTAAATTGATGTTAAGTTTTCTTTTACTCATCCTGTTTTCCAAACTGTGAGCCCAAATATGTGTACATCATTATAATCCTCATCCTTGTGCTCCAATCAAGATGCTCCATTTCCTTATCTGAATTTGTGTAGGTACCCAAAGGATGATCTTGATCGAATATGGGAACCACACTTTCAGCCCGAATGGACACAAATTTCCACTGTTCGCAAAGTCGACAACGCCAATAGTTATCTTGCGCCCCACGATATACTCATGACCGCGGCAATACCTGCCAATGCTAATGAGCCTCTAAGTTTTACCAAGTATCTTGAGTTCCCGAATGATAATCTTCACATGTACTTCCACTTCGCTGAGGTCCAAGCCTTGCAGGCTAATCAGACTAGAAGGTTCACGATTTTTTGGAACGATAGACCTATTTTTCGAGATTTGACCCCTCCATATCTTAACGTCTTCACTGTTTACACATATCCTAATCCATTTCTTTGTCAAGCTGGGGAATGCTTATTAGAGATTAAAAGAACTCAGATATCAACTCTCCCACCTCTACTTTGTGCCATCGAAATTTTAGCAATGCAAAATTTGCCACAGTCTGAAACAAACGAAGACGATGGTACGTATTTAATTGATACTGTACTTAAGTAATTTATGGGATACGATGGTACTAATCATATATATATGTAGAATATCTAATATGCTAAGTCCAACACGTCGCCAAACTTCATGACAGTGAGTGCTATGAAAAACATCAAAGCCACCTACGGATTGAGTAGGATCTCGTGGCAAGGAGATCCATGTGTTCCTCGACAGTTTTCGTGGGACGGTCTAATTTGCAACGACACGAATGTGTCTACCCCACCAAGAATCACTTCCTTGTGAGGCCTCTGTAACACAAACCCGCCCTTTTTTTTTTTTTTAATCTAATGTTAAATTATATTCAAAATAAAAATGGTACTGTTTTGCAACTTGTGCTACAGAAGCTGATTCTTTAGAATTATTAGAAAAACATTGTCTAACTGCAATAGTCTTCTTATTTTGGATAAACAGAAACTTGTCTTCAAGTGGGTTAACAGGAACCATAGCACCTGGAATTCAAAATCTCATCAATCTCCAAACGCTGTAAGTATGACATGAATGGAAAAAAAGCTAAAAGAAAAAATTATACATGTCGGTGGTTTTTTTCATTAACTTCTTACAAACTTCAGGGACTTGTCAAATAACAATTTGACAGGAAAGGTGCCTGAATTTTTAGCCAACATGAAATCGTTGTTGTTCATGTAAGTTCCCGATTCCCGACATATTTTTGCGGGTTTTCTCATAGATCTTGTTCACCTAATCAAGAAGATTTCCCCTGTTTTAAAACAGAGACTTGAGAAACAACAAACTACATGGTTTAATTCCAAGGAATCTACTTGTAAGAAGCAATGCAGGTCTACAGTTATTGTAAGAAGTAAATCCATACAAAGAAATTTTCAACTTTCGATCCAGCCACAGAGTTTGGTGCATTCAGAATACTAAAAGATCGATATATTCTTTTGTTTTGTAGTGTTAGTTATGACACATGTTTATCCAGTTCTTGTGTCCAAGACAAGAAATTCCCAATGAAATTTGTTGCATTAGCTTCTTCTGCGGTTGTGGTCATTGCAGTGGTACTGACTCTCTTTTTTCTCTACAGAAAGAAAAAACGGTCAAGTCTAGGTATGTACGTATATATACTTGCAGAAACTAAGAAATTAATCAACAAACTATAAACTATAACTGCCATTGACATGTTTTACTAAATTCTTCTCTACATATCTCTCTATCCCATTCTATAGGTTTGCCACCAATGCGTGTTATGTCAACTAGTATATCCGGACAATCGATTGAGACGCAAAGGAGAAGGTTTACTTATTCGGAAGTTGTGGAAATGACCGAAAACTTCCAAAACATTTTAGGTGAAGGAGGGTTTGGAATCGTGTATCATGGTTATTTGAATGGTTCAGAGCAAGTAGCGGTTAAAGTACTCTCACAATCATCATCACAGGGTTATAAACACTTCAAGGCAGAGGTATAATATGCAGTAGAACTTTTCTCAAAATCGTAAAAGAAAGTATAGTGATCTATATTATTGTGGTAACTACGTACTATATATATGAAATAGAATCAAGACAAATCTTGATGATTAGACTCAGTCTTTTTTGTATAGTTTTCCGAATAAAAAGAGTTTTTATGTTCTGATACCATAGAGATGACAGTCTAAATTCAATTCTTCCAACCCTAAACATCTTTCTTGTTAAACCAATGTATTTATAGTCATTATATTGTTGGGTCTGTAGGTTGAACTTCTTCTAAGAGTTCACCACGTAAATCTGGTGAGTCTTGTTGGGTATTGCGATGAAGGAGATCACTTGGCGCTAATCTACGAATGCATGTCCAATGGAGACCTAAAAGATCATTTGTCAGGTGAAAGATACAGATATAAATATATATGTATAACTCAGTTGAGGGCTAATTTTGATAACCTTATACAGGAAAAAAGGGTAAATCTGTTTTGAAATGGAGCACTAGACTACGAATAGCTGTCGATGCTGCGCTAGGTTCGTACTTAACTGAAAACAGGTTCAGTGACTTGTCATTTATATTCACTGGTTACTCTGGCTAGTAGTAGATATTAATCATAATATAAGTAAATCACTGAATCAATATGAACTTTTATCCATAAAATAATTGTATCCAAGTATTATAAACTTATAATGATAAATTGATAATCAATTATTTCCCACCAAGATTTACTCACTGGAATATATGACATCATCAACTAACATCAATGAGTCTATTGCATATATAGGATTGGAATACTTGCATTGTGGATGTCGACCATTGATAGTGCATAGAGATGTCAAAAGTACCAATATACTGTTAGACGATCAGTTCATGGCCAAAATTGCTGATTTTGGGCTTTCAAGATCATTCCTACTCGGAGAAGAATCACAAGCTTCAACCGTTGTTGCTGGTACTCTTGGATATCTTGATCCCGAGTAAGTACTATTTTCAGTCCTTTGATATTTATAGCATGTTGTAATTTATGTATGCGTAAAGCGTTCATCTTCATCATTTGTATTATTATATATGTCTACATATAAATCCTACTGCATCTCCTTGTTTTTCAGATACTACAGCACATGTCGGTTGGCTGAGACGAGTGATGTATATAGTTTTGGGATTTTATTACTAGAGATAATCACAAACCAACATGTGATTGACCATGCCCGAGAAAAGGCTCACATTACAGAATGGGTGGCATTTGTGCTTAAGGAAGGAGATATTTCTAGGATTGTTGATCCTAACCTTCATGGTGAATACAACTCCCCTTCTGTTTCGAGAGCCCTTGAATTGGCTATGAAATGTGCTAACCCTTCTTCAGAGAAACGACCAGACATGTCACAGATTATTACTGAACTAAAAGAGTGTATAACTGAAAACTCGATGAAATGTATAGATGACATGGATTCTAGTAGTTCTTTCGAACTGAGCTCAAGCTTCGATACTAAGGTGGTCCCTATTGCAAGGTAGTATTTGCATAGACACCTTGCTTGTATTGATATATTTGTGCTTGTGATCTGGAGTGCTTAATTTTTTTTTCTTTCTAGACATCATAAGTTCATTACTAAACAAGAGATGATAAATGTACCACTCCTTTGATCTTGTATTTGAGTAGTATAGTTTCCACATTCATTGACTATATATCATTATGAAATTGGAGCCAATAAGTAAGGCTACTAATAGCAAACTGTATGGATGGCTCTGTGTATGACGAAGCAGAGGGAAAATAAATGATTCCTTCAACACCAAAAAAAAAAAGAAGTAATGCCACATACGTAAAGGCTACAACTCATTTTGAGATTAAAAAAAAAAAAATTGCTACATATTTCCCCTAAAAATTATATATAGCAATCTTTTATTTAACATAAAAAATAATTCAAATTAGGACAAATATAGCAATATTTTTATTTTTAATCTCATTTTCCTGCATTTTTAGTGTTTGCAATTTGCGTAGTTACCTTCCACATGTGTAAAGCTACTTCTTCTCTTTAAACACAAAAAGCAAACCGTTGGTTTTCTAACTATTTTACAATATTATGTTAGTTAATGATGCAATGTTGTTGATAACTATTTTTTTCAGATAAAAAACATACGAGTAAGATACTATCTTGATCCAGGCTAGTTTATACCAATGAACCAGTAGCGTTGAATCTCTAGTTTGATTGTAAACATGACCGGAGCATTAGCGTTTCTGACTTAATAAGTTGACATAAACAAGACAAGTTGGAAAAAAAAAAAAAGGGTGCCCACTAGTATATAGCAATTAGCAAACGTAAGCATTCATCTGTCATTAACTAAATTTCCTTTGTAGAAAGAACAAAGCCATTATTTCACAATCTCAGAGGTGTGACCTGTTTTACACGTTTCCATGAGGCTTGACTTTTTTTTTTTTTTTTGCCCTGTTTTTCTAATAAAAGCTGAGGCATGACTTGGTAATTAGCTCTTCCACTTAAATGTCCAAAATGAGTTTTGTCCGCACATTGCTTATAAGCTTTTCTGGTAGCTTATAAGCTTTTCTGGTAGCTTATAAGCTTTTCTGTTAGCTAGTGTTAATATGGAGAGTTCGCATAGGTTTTTGTTGGTGGCACTAATAGTAGCTTCTTCTATTATTCACCTTGTTCAAGCTCAAGCAGGTAACCACATTTTTTAAACGTTTCGTATTCTTATATACCTTTTGAAACGAGTGAAATGATGCGTATGGCCCTGTAAAATTATTTTGAAGAGCAGTGCTTGTAAAACGTAAGTATAGAATCTGTTACGTCAAACGAGTTCAATATGTTTCAACATAACCTTTAACACTCTCTTATGTCTTTCAACAGGGTTCATCAGTTTGGATTGCGGATTATCTCCGAATGAGCAGTCTCCTTATATTGAGCTGGAAACTGGATTACAGTACTTATCAGATTCAAGCTTCATCCAAAGTGGAAAAATTGGTAAAATTGATGCAAGTCTTGAGTCGAAGTACCCAAGATCACAAATAACGTTGAGGTACTTTCCAGATGGAGTACGAAACTGTTACAATCTTAGCGTTCATCAGGGAACAAATTATTTGATCAGGGCTACAAGTAACTATGGAAACTATGATGGTCTTAACATTTCTCCTAGATTTGATTTGTACATAGGCCCTAATTTTTGGGTAACAATAGATTTGGAGAAGCATGTAAATGGTAATACATGGGAAGAAATCATTCACATCCCAAAGTCAAACTCTTTGGATGTTTGTCTTATAAAGACAGGCACATCAACGCCTATCATATCGACATTGGAACTAAGGTCTCTACCAAATAATACTTACATAACAGAATCAGGTTCTTTGAAGTCAATACTAAGATCATACCTAAGTGAAGCAACAAAAGTTATACGGTAAAACAACTTCAACTTTATATTAAAGTTATTTTACTTTTTTCACTCATTCCATATTGTCTATGGCTAATGATACAAGATTGCGGCTAGCGCAGGTACCCGGATGATTTCTATGATCGGAAATGGGTTCCATACTTTGAGTCGGAATGGAGGCAAATTTCCACCACTCTCAAAGTGAACAACACCATTAATGGCTTTCTTGCGCCGCAAGATGTGCTCATGACCGCCGCAGTACCTGCCAATGCTAGTGCGGCGTTGAGTTTTACCAAGGATCTTGAGTTCCCTAAAGATGAACTTTACTTCTACTTCCACTTCTCTGAGATCCAAGCCTTACAGGCCAACCAGACTAGAGAGTTTAGCATTTTGTGGAACGGAGAAGTTATTTTTCCAACTTTGAGTCCTAAATATCTAAAGGCCAGCACTCTTTACAGTGTGTCACCATTTGTTTGTGAAGTAGGGAAATGCTTATTAGAGCTGAAAAGAACTCAAAACTCAACTCTCCCGCCTCTACTTACCGCCATTGAAGTATTCACAGTGATCGACTTCCCACAGTCTCTAACAAACGAAGATGAAGGTAAGTTTTTTTTTTAGATGGATCTCTTTTGATGAAAATATTCAAAACATCATACATGCTAAATCTAACATGGCGTACGTCGACAAAATTTATGACAGTGATTGCTATCAATAACATCAAAGACACCCACAAATTGAGTAGAATCTCATGGCAAGGAGATCCATGCGTCCCAAGGCAGTTTTTGTGGGATGGTCTAAGTTGCAAAGAAATGAATGTGTCTACACCACCAAGAATAACTTCCTTGTGAGACATTTATATCTCAACCCTTGTTAAACTACACTAGACTTGTTTATGTATATTTCTTATTGTTTTCGACCCTATAAACAGAAACTTGTCTTCAAGTGGAATAATGGGAACCATATCAATTGAAATTCAAAATCTTACACATCTCGAAAAGTTGTAAGTATGATCATTATAGATTGAAATGAAATAGTTTGTGAATGTCAATGACATTTTTCTAATTGAGTTTTTATAATCATTATAGGGACTTGTCAAATAACAATTTGACAGGACTGGTGCCCGAATTTTTAGCTAATATGAAGACATTAATGTTCATGTAAGTTTTCGGACATGTAAATAAGGGTTTTATCATTGATCATGTTTACCTAAGTACGAAAATTTATATGGTTTTAACAGAGATTTGAGGAAGAACAACCTAAATGGGTCAATTCCAAAGTCTCTTCGTGATAGAGAAAAGAAAGGACTACAATTATTGTAAGAAGGAAAATTCAATTCACACACATTTTTTAGGTCAAGATCTTCCTTATTTTATTTAGATTACTAAAAGTTCTGCTTTTTTTTTTTGTGTGGTAGTGTTGATGGCGATAATACGTGTTTATCCAATTCGTGCGTCCCAAAAAAGAGATTTCCAATGATGATAGTTGCATTAGTTGCTTCTGCAGTCTTGGTCATCATAGTGGTACTAACTTTCATTTGCGTGTTCAAAAAGAAAAAGAGATCAGTTCAAATGGAAGGTATTGGCATAGATTTATTAATAAAACAACAATTTATATACTAGCAGATCTCATGCATAGTTGTTTACTGTTTTATTTCTCACTACATTGTTTTTTATACATCTTTATATATCCCCATCGCTAGTTATGCCAACAATGGATACTGCGTCAAAGAGTATATCCGAACAACTGATCAAGACAAAAAGGAGAAGATTTACTTATTCAGAAGTTGTAGAAATGACACAAAATTTCAGAAAGGCTCTAGGGGAAGGAGGTTTTGGCATAGTCTATCATGGTTATCTAAAAAAATCAGATCAAGTAGCGGTTAAAGTACTTTCTCAATCATCATCACAGGGATATAAACACTTCAAGGCAGAGGTATGATATTCAATATATCTTCTTACAAGAAAAAAGAAAAAGAAAAACAGTGATCAGGTCGGATATTAATGTTGGTATGTAGGTCGAACTTCTTCTAAGAGTTCACCACATAAATTTGGTGAATCTTGTCGGATATTGCGATGAAAAAGATCATTTGGCCCTTATCTACGAATACATGCCCAATGGAGATTTAAAAGATCATTTGTCAGGTGAAAGATGAATATAGATACATATCATTCATTATTCTGATTATTAGAAATATGTAGTTTATAGGGCGACTAATTTTGACAATCTAATACAGGAAAACAAGGTGGCTCTGTTTTGGAATGGACTACCAGACTACGAATAGCCATAGATATTGCCCTAGGTTCGTATTAACTCAATATAGTACTACCATAGATAGTGGTCATGTCATGACTGACTAGTGGATTATAAATGATACAAACATATATGTACATGTGCACATATGTAAGCAACTCTTAATTCAAGTAAAACACTATATACATCTAGACATTTTTAAGTAAAATATAATTGTATCCAAAATGTAACACATATGTTATAAACTTGTAATGATAATAAAATATTTCCCATCACACTTTCACTCACCATAATTTATGGCTTCAACTAACATAGGATTGGAATACTTGCATTATGGATGCCAACCACCCATGGTGCATAGAGATGTGAAAAGTACTAATATACTCTTGGATGATCAGTTCATGGCCAAAATTGCTGATTTTGGGCTTTCAAGATCGTTTCAACTCGGAGATGAATCTCAGATTTCAACGGCTGTTGCTGGTACTCCCGGGTATCTTGATCCCGAGTAAGTACTACTCGTTTGCTCTATTGATACAATATATAAAATATGCATGCATTCATCTTCATCCCCATAATGAACACATATAAATCCTTTAGTTTCTCAATTATTTTTCAGATATTATAGAACAAGTCGGTTGGCTGAGATGAGTGATGTATACAGTTTTGGGATTGTATTACTTGAGCTTATCACCAACCAACGTGTGTTTGACCAAGCCCGCGGAAAACTTCACATCATAGATTGGGTGGCATTTGTGCTTAATAGAGGAGATATTACTAGGATTGTTGATCCTAATCTTCATGGTGAGTACAACTCTCATTCAGTTTGGAGAGCTCTTGATTTGGCTATGTCATGCGCAAACCCTTCTTCAGATAAACGACCAAACATGTCCCAAGTTGTTATCGATCTAAAAGAGTGTTTAACTACTGAAAACTCGATGAAAACAGAGAAAAATGACACAGACACCGATGGTTCTCTCGAACTGAGCTCGAGCTTTGATACTAAGGTGTTTCCTAGTGCAAGGTAGTTATTAATTTGCATAGACACTTTTCTTGCGTCGACGTATTTCTGCTTGTGTGTAACGTTCGTCCTTGGGCAAAAGCGTGTTTAAATTTTATTTGGAGACATATCACAAGCTCATAACTACACAAAATTCGATAATACTACACTTTTGATCTTCTATCTGAATTTGTTGTCAGCAATTTGAGTACATACCTTTATTGAATATTTCAACAAAAACCAGACCAAAATATGAATAAGGTTAGAGAAGCAAATTTAATGGATGGTTTTGTGCATAATGAAGTAGAGGAACTAAGCCATAGTACACCATAAGAAGACTAGTGTTGCACAATCTAGTAGAATAACCAGAGAACTGGAAGGCAACAAACTCAGGAACCATTATCAAAAAGAAAAGAACAATAATTAATTCAAGTCAACTCTTAATATCTCAATAATATATTCACCTCTTATTGTTAGTTAGTGGTTCCAAACTATTATATATATAGCCTATACTTTTCAGTTATTAGTAGTTTCTTTGTAATAAACTTAGACCACTTGGATATATGACTTATATAAACTGACCAAAAACGGCTTATATTGGCCACTAGAAACGTATTTAATCGTTAAATTTGTTTTTGCATCTTAATCATCATGTTCTCACGTTTTCAAGCTTCACTTGGGGAAAGTCTTTTCTTGAAATGTCGAAAAATAGTTGTGTGCTCCCCACTGCTTATATAGACATAATAGCTATATTGTTCAGAACTTAGGGAAGTGTATGTATTTTTTTGCTTCTGAACTAAGAGAAAATGGAGAGTTCACAAGGACTTTTGCTGCTCGCACTTTTATCATCTTTCTCTATTAATCACCTTGTTCAAGCTCTAGATCCCGAAGGTAACCTACAATTCTATATTCCAATTTTACAAGTAAAAGGTAAAAATTATGTATGGTAAGATCATTTAACAGTGCTTTACTTAAACAGGGTTCGTAAGTCTGGAAATTCCAGTTGTCCAAATTCCGATGAAATACATTGTACTTGGTTCTGGTATTGTGATCATTCTAGTTCTACTAGTTCTCAGTTGTGTGTGCAGGAAAAAAATAAAAGCACCAAGGCATGTGGAAGGTATATATATTTGAAGAGACTCTTATTATATCATCAACAAATTATGTATTACAAGGTTATCCACATGTGTTGGTCTTATACTAAATATTTCTTATCTACAGAGATACCCACTTCACCAGTTGTATCATCTACTACGAGTAAATCTGATGACTCGATCAAGACAAAAAGGAAAAAGTTTACTTATTCAGAGGTTACAGAAATGACAAAAAAACTTTGAAAGAGCTCTTGGAGAAGGAGGCTTTGGCATTGTATATCATGGTTATTTGAATGGTTCAGAGGAAGTAGCTGTTAAAGTACTCTCTCAAACATCATCACAAGGCTATAAACATTTCAAGGCAGAGGTATGTAACCCTTTTAAAATTAGTTTCTAAAAGTTGTTACAAAAAAATCTATATGAAACATTTGACCTATATATATTTTTATGCACCATGCTAAGTTAGTACATGTATTTCATATCTTTGTTCATTGTTGGTATATATGCAGGTTGAACTTTTGCTGAGAGTTCACCACATTAACTTGGTTGGCCTTGTTGGGTATTGCGATGAACGAGGTCACTTGGCTCTCATCTACGAATATATGTCCAACGTGGACTTAAAACATCATTTGTCAGGTGACAGATGTATACAATAACATTGTTATTCCTTGGCTATTCAACAAAATCATGTGATATCTTATTTTGATGATTTAATGCAGGAAAACATGATGTCTCTATTTTGAAGTGGAGTACTCGATTAAGAATAGCCATTGATGCCGCACTAGGTTTTTTTACTCACTAAAAACTGTTTTTAGTCACTTACTTTGTTTAAACAAAAAAGTTTCTTGCAACCATTGAACACTGAACTTTTCATTTTCTTATTACGCTGTAAAAATTATTCATATGAGGGTTTGCTAATATTTTTAGGACTGGAATACTTACATATTGGTTGTCGACCATCCATGGTACATAGAGATGTCAAAAGCACGAATATATTGTTGGACGAGCGATTCACTGCCAAAATTGCGGATTTTGGGCTTTCAAGATCCTTCCAACTTGGAGATGAATCTCATATTTCGACCGTTGTGGCTGGTACTCCTGGATATCTAGATCCTGAGTAAGTATTTTAGATTACATAGTTTTTTAGTCCCCATGCTAGACCATCTCAGATATGAACTTCACTATGCCATGTTGAAATATGTGTCCATATTCATGTCAGGTTATACAATGAACACATATGACTCCTATTACATATTCTTGTCCTTCCAGATATTACAGAACGGGTCGGTTGGCCGAGATGAGCGATGTCTACAGCTTTGGAATTGTGTTATTGGAGATGATGACAAACCAACGTGTGATTGACCAAAACCGCGAAAAACGACACATAACAGAATGGGTAGCATTAGTGCTTAACAGAGGAGATATCACCAGGATCATGGATCCTAATCTTTACGGAGATTACAACTCAAATTCTGTATGGAAAGCTCTTGAATTAGCTATGACATGCGCAAACCCTTCTTCAGAAAAACGACCGAGCATGTCCCAAGTTATTAGCGGACTAAAAGAATGTCTTACTTCAGAAAACTTGATGAGAAATAAGAATCAAGACATAGAGAACTCTGATAGTTCTCTTGAAATGACCATGAACTTTGATACTGAGGTTGTCCCTAGGGCAAGGTAGTGTTATTGTAAAGAAGCTCACTCACGTCAGTGACGTCACGTTGATGTATTCTTTCTTGTAATACAAGCTTTCTTGTTTTGCTACTCTGAAAAGACGAAAATACCCTTATATTTGAAAAAAACTTAACATGGGCCTATGTTAGGGCTACAAGCCCACTAAAGAAGCGAGCCCTAAACACAAAAACTAGTTCAGATGTGATCTCTCTCTCCCCCTGACGCGAGAAGCAGTCATCAGAGACAACAACAAAACCTGAGAAATCGTTTCTGCAAAGAAAGAGAGAGAGATGAGGTTGTTCGATCCATGGCCAGTGTTCTTCAAGAGAGAATGGAAACGTTGCTGGCCATTCCTCACCGGTTTCGCCGTCACCGGCGTTCTCATCACCAAGTTAACCGCCGGATTCACTGGTATAGTCGTCGGATCCACACTGATAAACCATTAAATTTCTCCCATTTCAGCGTTGTTCAATGGATTCAGATCGAGATTGTTATGCGATTACTTTGTGTATCATGTCTTAATTTTTAATTTCGATTTTGGGAAAAACCCTAATTTTTCGTTAAAATGTTTGATTTTTCTAAAACAGAGGAAGATGCCAAGAACTCCAAGTTCGTCCAGCAACACAGGAGGTAATAACACCAAATTTAAATGACTTAGAGCATTTTGGAATCGATGTAGTAAAGAAATGGTCTTTGAGGTTTCTAGGATTGCTATCAATAGATTGGTTTATTCGTATTAAGATTGTATTACGATTGATTCATAGTGAGAGATGCAAGTCTTTTACCATTAGAAAATGCCTTGTTTATTAGGTCCGTTGCCATATACATGAATCTCCCATTTGGTTTATTAGGTTCGTTCCACATACATGAATCTCCCATTGAATTGTTCTTGCGCGTTTGCGTGATATCGAGGGATTGTAGCATTGATTGATTAGTTACATTGCTTATTGACTATGCTTAAACTCGTAGCAAAACGCTAAAAGGTTTGAACTTGTTTTGTATTTTCAGGTGATGATTTCACGAAAGCAAAGTGTGTAGAAGCTACGAGGCATATTTCTGGAACATATAGTGTCGGGATGCTTCAGCTTCGAAACTTGTTGAATAACAAAGAAGAGCATTCTATATACTCTTTTCTTTTTCTCTGAGTTTGGCAATTCTTTTTCCTGAAACTGAACAATGCAATGAATTTTTGTGCACTGTATCTTCTTCTTCCCATATGTTCGGAAATGGATTTATTGTCTTTTTGTTTGATCATGTGAATGCACATTCAACAAAGCTATGGTCTCCCCCAATAAATACTAACATTCTGTTCCAAAGGATAGTCTTTGTGTTTATGTAGCATTCAGGTTGTGGCATAACTAGCTTTGAATCTAACTTTGATGATCAATTCTAGTGCAACATTGTCATTATTACACAGTTTTTTCTCAACCACTTGTATTGATTGTTCATTTTATGAAAAGCAAGCCACAACATAGACAATAGACATGTTTGTTGTGGAATTTGAGCTAATGTTGTTTGAAGTTTAAAGAGATGACTTCACCAAAGTTGTTTACCTCATTCAGAATATGAAGAAATGACTCAACTTGTAGCAGCAAACGCTATGGCAAGAAAAGTAATTTTTTTTCTTTGATAAAAAGGCATTCGTTCATAATCTTTATTTCTCTTTACGGACTGAGTTTTCCACTGTGGAAACATATTATATGAAACCAGCCACCTGCACCATGGAATCTGAAAAGTAGAACTAACTTATAGTGCAATCACGTTTGCTTTTGATCGGTGACCAAGTTTTAGTTCTTGAGGACTCCGAGCCTTAGCCTGAAGTCTTCTTCCATTAGGGGAAGACCTTCACGGAGCTTCACCTTTGGTTCCCATCCCAACACTTCTTTAGCCTTTGTGATGTCCGGCTTCCTCTGTCTTGGATCATCTGGTGTGTTCTCGACCATCTTTATCTCAATGCTCGGGTTAATCAGCTGAAATCAAACTAACATGTCAATAACTGCAAGAATTTTAAAGCACTTATCATATCAAATGAGAAACCAGACTCTCACCTCCTTCACTGTCTCAGCCAGTTCCACCATAGTAAACTCACCTGAGAAACCAAAGATTCAGACACTAAGCATAAGTTCAAGAGATTGGTTGGTTTGTGTTTAGTCTAACGGAGAAATATTGCGGGCTTTACCTGGGTTACCGATGTTGATGGGACCAGTGTCATCTCCTTCCATGAGGCGCATAAGTCCATCAACCATGTCAGATACATAACAGAAACTGCGAGTCTGTGTCCCTGGTTTCTGAACAGTCAATGCCTCACCCCTACAAATTCATGGCAACAACAACACCAAGAGATAAATAATCAATCAAATTATAGCTCAAAAAAGGAAAATTTGTTTGATGGATTGGACAAAGCAGGCTCACCGTAGTGCTTGAGCAATGAAGTTGCTTACGACACGGCCATCATCGATGTTCATGCGTGGACCATAAGTGTTGAAGATTCTGGCAATGCGGATTTCTACAACGAACAACAAGCACAAGGTAAGCAATAAAGGAGAGAGTCTTGATGAAATTATGGGAAAAATGTTGACATAAGGGCCACAAGAAAATACAACTGACCAATTCCATGCTGCCTGTGGTAGTCAAACATCAAGGTCTCAGCCACACGCTTGCCTTCATCATAACAGCTTCTAACCCCTTTTATCATAGCAACCACATTATAAAGACAGTGAATTGACACTGATAATAAATTTATTTAAAGCTGAAGAGTGTTTGAGCTTACCAATTGGGTTGACATTTCCCCAATAGCTCTCAGGCTGGGGATGGATCAGAGGATCTCCATACACCTCCGAGGTTGAGGTAAGCAAAATTCTGTTCGGAAGAAGAGTTAGTCACAAAGGTGAAGATCAATATAAGTAAGATATAAAGAAGGGACCGATTTGCATACCTTGCTCCAACACGCTTGGCTAGACCTAGCATGTTCAGTGTGCCAATCACATTGGTCTTGATTGTCTTCACAGGGTTATACTTGTAAAAGATGGGAGAAGCAGGACATGCAAGATGGTAAATCTGATCAACCTCGATCAAAAGTGGCTCTGTTACATCTGTTAAACCCAAAGCCAGATATAAATGGGGAGAACAAAAGGACACGAATATTCCATTCTCAATTAAAGCAACAAGACAGAGAGTTTCGAGACCATACCGTGACGAATCAGCTCAAATCTTGGATGACCGATCCACTTCTTAAGGTTGTCCTTTGAACCAGTGAAATAGTTATCAGCAACAATCACCTGAGGTACAAAAAAAAGAAGCATCAGTACTAGTTAATCAAAATGACGCATAAACTACTTAAGTCCACGATTTTAAGTATGTCATATGCAAACCTCATTCTTTTCGTTTTCCATCAGCTTATCGACAAGGTGAGAGCCAATGAATCCAGCTCCTCCTGAGATCAAAATCCTCATATTTGACTACACAAATGAGAAAAGCAATCACTTAGCACATCATATTTAAAACCACAAATACAAATTCCTGAAAATCACAGATGCTCAGAACTATCGATAATCTTTCAGTTAAGCATAAGAAAGCTCTTCTCACAGGACACAATGCAGCAAACGAAAAGGCCGATACAGCTGAAAGTCGGATCTAAGTGGAAATGTACAGAATTCAATCTCAATGATCTCTGAGACCAATCAAAGAGATCACTAAACCAAGAATTCGTTTTGACATTGATCTACGCAATGTCAAAACGTAATCAAGTAAAAATACAAGATCCGCAGGAAACAAATGATCAATCAACCAAACTAAATAGGATCACACCATCCATGATCGGACCTAGAATCAAGGATCAAAACACGAGATTCACTCTCCAACCATATTAAAGTATCAACCTTTCACATGGTTCTAAGGTAAGGGTAGATTTCAAATGGGGGGAAAACGTGATTCAACACATGAGATTAATGGGTATCACCAGAATCGAATAAAAATCAAAACTTTACCTGACAAAACTTGGAATTACGAAGAGGTGAAGGTGAAGGTGGAGGCTTTGGGCTTGTTTGTTTATCACTTGACGCCATTGATGAAAGATCACTCACAACCCTGAATTTTTGAGATTAAAAAAATCGCATCAAACAAGTGAAAAAATGAATTAGAAAAAAAAAAAGAGAAGAACTTTTTACGAGATCGGTACCGAATCGATGAACCCTAAAAAAAAAACGAAAACTTTGTGATCTGAAGAGAGCGAAGGATCGTATTACTTATACTCTCACAAGTGTCGGAACTTCTTCCTCTGTCAAATTTTGAATATATTTGGTAATTAGGATTTTATTTTTTTATGAATCCTTTTTTAGAATTTTTTTTGGGGTGAGATAAGATTAAAGAGACTTCAAAAACACGAAAAGTGGATACTAAATAAAATAAAATAAAAAATTTGTGGTTAGCTTACTCGATTACAACGACAGTATTTGACCAAACGTATTATATGATGTGGCAATTTCTAAACTTGTCAAGGAATAATATTTTGGCTATTTAACTTTGCCAATTTTAGCAAATTTTTAATTTTAATATAACACTCTACTCCATTTAGTTATGAAAATTAATGTGCTAAGATTCTCATATACAATTTAGCTTTGATTTGAAATAGGTAGATAATAATTTCTTGAAAAAGATTTATGAATGATCCAAGTTAGTACTGAAGTTTAAGCATAGTAATTTTTTGAAATATTGTTCAATTGATTGATCTAGACATGTCTATTTGGGTACATGAATTTTAATCTAACCTTTAAACACGTTCCAATTTTTTTCTGTCTTATATTCATTTTCTATAAGAATTGAGTGACGCATGAGTTGGGATATCTATATTAGCTTTTAAATATTTAATTCTTTAAAAAGTTAATTAGAATTTTCCAAAATTTTGAAAATTTCTTGATTTTTTTTAATTAAGTAAAAAAATCTTACGTATTTAGTAGAAATCGATCCTGTGCGTTCATATTAGTGAAAGTTTGAAAAAAGAAAATATTTTCCAACACCTTACATCTAATTTTGTAATCTGAAACTTTTATCTTATATATTGTTAAAAATAGTTTGGAGATTATCGATACACCCTATTTTTTTATTATTATTATTATAGTTATATCCATTTAACTTGACATTTAATAAACATTTTAACAAGGGAAAAAAATGATTGATAATAATCCTTCAAATGAAAGAATTTTTTTCTTTCTTTCTTGTTTTGTTTGTGTTTAGAAATTAGAACTAAGAAGAAGCTTGTTCTCTTGTCGACATCTCTATTTGTTGACTTCAGTTTTGTACATTATCGATAAAAACAAAAGTTTATGACACTAAACCTATTAGAATTTACAGATGCAAAACAAAACAATGACTAATTCGGAAAGAACATAATATCGGATTGGAACATAATCATGAAATGATCCATGACTTTGGGTTTCCCAGGTTCTTGACAGAATATGAATAGCATGTGCTACTTTGTTATTTTACATCATTTTATTTTGTTTCATTATTGGTTCTACGAACTACTCTTTTCTTACGTATATTTATCATTATAAGGTTTTCAAATACACATTTCTCATCTTTAAACATCACCAACAATGGCAATTACTTAACTTAGTATCTCCCAAACGTAAAATGTATTGAACCACAACCATTAACCCTAAACTAAGACCCAAAACTAAGTTGAATCGATTGATTCTTATTATCCATTCGCGTTTCAAACGAACACGCTGAATGAGAGACGGTTTATTCACTAATGGCTATGTATATATCAACGCATATCACACATATGCTATCACTATGTATACAGAAGACATACAACTTGTGCTGCCATTAAACTGGTTCTTACCTTATGGAAGCTTAAAAGGGTCTGCTCTCTGGGTCGGCGAATCCAGCTAGTAGTGCACCGAAGAGCCAAACCATGAGCAAGAACACTACTGCTGTTCGCAGAACTTGGGTACATATGTTCAGGTTCGGTTCTTCTTCATAGGCTAAATCAGGTGTCTGGACATTGTAACTCCAGTGGCCGCTGTCTAGCTTCTCTGTTTCCGTTGAGCTTCTTTTCCTGCTTCTTGGGTGTGTTTGTGGCTGTGGTGGATCTGGTTCGTTGAGATTCGAGCATCTTTTGCAATTGCAGTCGCTGCCAAGGTACGAAGGAAGCATCTGGAGGTATTCAGAGAGGACTCGCTGGAAAGTTTCTCCTTCAATTCTCAGCTTCTTGCGTGTCGTTGGTCTAAGAATCTATGAGAGAAGGACATAAGTTTAGTAGGGAATATGCAACTATGATAGATCAAAGAACAAGGATTAAGAAAATCGGAAAATTGAAGTTAGCTCAGGTAGATCTATTACTTGGATGAAAGTCTGGGAAATGACTCGGACAACAGGAGGGAGGCGAATGATGAATAGACAGCCAAGACGGTTAGGGAAGTGATCTTGAAGAATGGATGAACAAGATCTCATCATCTGCATGGGAATCCTCAGAGGAGATAATCCTTCACAATCAACTAACACTGTAAGTTCTGAATTCTCAGGGGTCAGAAGATGCAAAACGCCGTGCTCTACCTGAGATACTGAAACAAACAATGACAATATTGGAATATTAAAAGGATGTCGTATCAAAGAAATACTGGAAAATGTAGTAGATCCATTAAGGACGTACTGATTGCCTGAGCAAAACGAGGTCTTTCATGCGATGGCAACTTTAAGAAAGCAAGCCCCAAGCGGACAATGAGGCAAGGTCGTTGGTTCCTGTCATATCCATGCCAAAAGACTAAACTTGACCATGTCTCAAGTTCTTCTTCAGATAGGATTCTGTAAGTCTCCCTCCAATGGATTGTCTTTTTTATTGACGATAGTAAGGATGTGAAGTCTCCATTTGACACTCTATAGAATCTATGAAGCTCGTCTTCATTGAGTCTACATTAAAATGAGACTGGACGGTTATGATCTAATGTGAAAAATTTAAAGTCAAAACTCAAAGAAGGTAGCACTTCTTCATATAACATTAAATTTCAGAGTACCTCTCAGGCAAGCTAAGTCTCTGCTTTTCCAGTTCTTCATAGAGTTGCCTAAGCCATTCTTGTGAAGTTACAGGAAGTGGAGCCTCTTCTTCAACTCTACATTTAGAAAAAAAAAAGTGAAGATATGTAGGAAGATAGAAATATGTAGATAATACTCAAAACAGACTATGGTGCTTATTATTTTCAAGGAATTTGCAAAACTTCAAGTGCGTCAGATTAAAGTACAGGCTCAAACAATTATAGTACAATATAACATGTAAGACATTTACAATACATACCTTATATCTGATGGAGACTGTGACGTCTGTGGGTCAGATTGTGATTCTGAAGATGCATGGGAAGTGTTACCACCTGGGGATTCTTGCTTTAACTCTGGCTGGTATGTGAGAGCCTCAGCTATCGTGAGGACCAATAATGGCCGAGACAGCATCTGCATAAAGATTACACACAGTTATTGAGACTCACGGCAGATCAGTATGGTGAAAGAAGTACCAAATAACACATCAAAGGGTCCCTGCACATGTGTTATGAGATATCTGGCATGATACATATGCTTCAGAGTAAAAGATCAGAGAACTACTAGTGACCAGGATTCATCAAAGTAGATTATAACACCATCCAGTGTTGCCACCAAGGCATGAACTAGGAATAACTTCTGATTCAATCAAGTTGCAAGTAAAAAGTGAGAAGGACAAAAAAAGGAAAGACCTTTGAAGCACAGAGAAGAACACAAAATGTTTTTCTATATAATTATATTACAAGTAACATGTAGTTAAAGCCTACCCCTATCCTCAGCATGTCTAAAATGATAAAGTTAAGACTGGTGAAAATAGCCCAACGACTTGGGACCTGATGGATCCATTGTTTCAAACTTCGTTTCATTCATCTTAGAATCTTAGGTTGTGTCAATTTTGGAAACACACGGATTCATGCAATAATGCTATGCGCTTTGAAATTTTTTCATGCTTCACTAGCAGTTGGTCATAAACATTGACAAACAGAGAAGAAAAGGGCAAAGTAGCAAACCTGCATTGCCTTGATCAACTCCTTGAAAGGAGCCCATCTCTGAATCCACTTAAGAGGAGGATAACAAAGACATTGCAACGCCTGAAGACTATTCCACAAATGAGGACATTTAGCCTTGGAAACCCTTCGAACGACTTCCAAAACAGCGACTTTCAGCAGAAACACAGCCGCATTACGCACAGCCCCACTTCCAACTCTACCATCACTCCCCAAAGAAACATGTTTACAAATCGTCTGCTGAACCGCTCTTGGAATAGCAGCTACTAAGCTTCTCTTAGTTTTTATCTCTTTCCCAGAAGAAACAGTTGCCATCACAGAGTTCCTACTTGTACCAGAATTGTCTCCCATTATAAAAAATTCAAATCCTTTACGATGAACCAATACGCCACGAAAACTCGAATTACTCAAAACCAGATCACACCAATTCCATGACAAACAATATCAATCTGCATTTAAACCATTCCAATGGACACGATTACGAAATTTTCAGCATTAAGATAAGCAATAATAGAATTAATCAACAAAATTTAGAGAGTTTTAAACAAAACGAACCACGAAATCTCTGTGATTTTTCTTCATCAAACCTCGAACTAATCGACGAGCAGCAGATCGGTAATCAATTCATAACGACGTCGTTGAAGTGATCGGAGAATCAAATTGTCACCGGCGAAAGCGAGATTTCGTCTTTCTCTCGGAAGTTCCCACAAAGCTCGAAAGAAACTTCGAAACGCAAAAAAAAAAGAAGTAAACAAGAGCAATACGGTGTGGGACACGTGTACCGTCTCAACTGTTATGATAGCGATTGATAAGTAAATCAACGGTCCAAGAGCGACAACGTCACGGGCCTTTTTAATACGTAGACCCAGAAGACGCGGACATCATGCTGTTTTTTAATTAATCCACCAAAAAACCCGAACTGCAAGAAGTCTCTAGCGGGAACGTAAGAACGGCGTGGAGTTTTAGCGTCCAAAGAAGAATGAAAGTAAAACACAAGCTGCAAGCCTGCAACAAACCTCTAAACAAAAGCTTCTTCAGCATAGAACGTATGAATAGTATAAATCTTAATGTTCAGTTTCTGAAGATCAACACTTTTTTTTTGTTCGACCAAACACTTCATTTCACGTTGGAGGAACGTGATTAAAAGATGCAAGACGGGTTTATTACAAGTAGTGTTTGGACAGTTTTTCAAAAGGGATTTCTCTTGATAAGATAAAAATGAACTTTTGAAACTCCAGAGAAGTTTGGAGTTCAAAGTGTGAAAAGTGTATGTTTGTTTGATCACAACATTTCTTGAGACTTTCTAACACAACGGCTCACTTTCTTCTTGAACTCGTCTCTCTTCTCTCTCCATTCTTTCTGTAAGAGGAAAACACACCAAGAAAATGGTTAACAAGCAACCTCTGGTATGAAATGAGACAGTGTAAATCTCATAAGATCATAGCTAATCAATAGAAGAATACTCACAGCAGCTTCTACATTTGCTGGAGATTCATCGTTGGGACCAGAGAGCATTGATATAATACTCAACATAATACTCTCAACCTGAAATCAGCATATATTTTTCAACTCATCAAGACTAAATGACATCAATCAGCTGCTAACATATGCATACAGATTACAGACAATCATCATATTGGATAATTGCTAAACGTACTGTATGAACAGGCGTCCAACGCTCGCTTGCAAGCTCATACCCGCTCGGATCATCACCAGGAGGATGTAGAATAGATATACAGACACGACCATCTTGATAAACTGAAAACCATTATCCAAAAACCTTAGTAGCTATCACAAAACAAGATCACAATAAGCGCGAATAAGATCATATTCGAGGGTAAAGAACCAACCGTTCGGATGCCAAATATCTGAAGTAAACCGCACGGTAGGCGGGCTATTAGGATAGTTTTGTGGAAATGACATAATGGCATTGAAAAATCCTCCTTCACTGCATATACAAAGTCACATTAAACTGTATGCTTAATCCCTTTGTATAAAGAAACAGATATAAAAGCAATTCAATTTCAATTCCACAACTACTCCAATGTCCATTCCAACAAAATCGAATCAATTCAAAGATCAAATCCAAAGGGGATCATAGAAATCAAGAAGTGAAAAAACGTACTAGAGAGTATCAGGAGGACCGATAATAGTAACGCTCCATTCGAATATATTCTTCTCATCGACTAAACCAGCAGAGAAGCCATCTACAGGATGCTTACAAAGATCTGAGAACAAAAACAACAAATCGAATTCAAGAACAGAGAAGAAAGAAACAGATTTGTTAATAAAGATTCGCTGTATGTGTGGTACCTTTGAGTTGTTTCTGAAGAAGAAGACAAGCTTGTGAAGTCATGGTTGATGAATTTAGAAATCGAGCTGGAGCTTTTCTTCTTCCCAATGATCTGAGAAAGAGGAAGATGTTTGGTAATTGAAATGAGAGAGTTTTTATTATAAATCGATAGAGAAAGGTTTTGAAAAAAAAGGGGATGGGGATTTTTGTGTTTTTTTCTCTTTTGATTGGCATCGATGTTGTTCATCAAGAGGAACACATGGGGGGAGTGGGGAGAGATCCGCTACGGACGTGTCTTGTTTACGTAATTAGATCTAACCAATAGAATTTGTCATGTTTTGACTTTTATTCATAGTGGCCGACTAGAAAATTTTTAAAGGGTATGGCTTGGAAAACCCGAATGTTTAGTTTACATGAAGATTTGATGTTCTCATACTAACACCACTCTACACCACGAATCGAGAATCTGAATCGTTTCGTTGTTCCTAAATATATTAAATAACAAAATAAAATAATTTAATTATATATTGTATATATTGTTAAAGTTATATTTGTATATATTTAATGTAACATCCAGTTTGCTGAAACGTTTTAAAAAATTAATTTTGGTCATTTATTTTACAAAAATTCGGTCAAAATTTTTTTGAAAGAATTCCGCCGTTAAACATGTTTATAGTGAAATAGTATATGGATAAATGACTTTCCGGAAAATGATTGTTGGAACTATTCAAGTAAAAATAATGTACATATAGAAAGATACGTGTTTATTAATAGGATCGCTAAATAAATTTTTTAAGTCTTCCGTACGTAGCCTTAATATCAGCCTCCAAAATTGTTTGGTGGACTCATGAACCTTTGTTAATTATGAAACAAGAGCTGAATCTTGTCGTTTCCTCGCTCACCAAACCCTTGAAGTAAAACAAAAACCAAACAATTGAACTGTTTTAACTTTTAAGGAAGTTTAAGGAAACATGCATTACAATAATTATCGCCATACGTAACCGCATCTTTTGAAAATAATATGTCCAACTAAAAGTTCGTTTTTAAGTTGATTAATTAGCTAGCGATATATTATCACGAGAATTTTAAATATTATCCAACTTGGAATTGTACTATATTCAAAGAAATGAAACAAAACGTGTTTGGCTCTTTGCATAGTACTACTATATGGCAGTGGAATCTTGGAAAAAGCCATTCTCCTTCTAATCCTCAAAGAGATAACACAGAGAGAGAGAGATGGAGGATAAAACTCAGGAGGAAGCTTCAACCATCAACGTTTCATCCCTTACTTGTATAGATCTCACCAACTCTAATCTTCATCAATCAGCTCTTTCTCTTAAACAGGTCTCTGTCTAGCTCAGACGTTTGTTCTCCTGCTCAAATTTAAAGATGATTACTGTGTGTGTGACCCTTTATTACTTACATATCTAGATTGTGGGTTTTTCTAGGCATGTCTAGATTGTGGATTTTTCTATGTCACAAATCATGGTCTAAGTGAGGAGTTGAGGGACGAGGCTTTTGAGCAAAGTAAGAAGTTCTTTGATCTTCCTTTGGAGGAGAAGATGAAAGTCTTGAGAAACGGAAAGCATCGAGGCTATTCACCTGTCTTTGATCAAATCTTAGATCCTGAGAATCAAGTCGATGGTTTGTGTGACCATCTTTTACTTTGCTTGATAAAAGTTTTGTTGTTGATAATCTTCAATATTGTTGTAACCTCATGGTATTCAGGGGATTACAAAGAAAGTTTTTTCATTGGAATCGAAGATTTGAAAGATGATCTGCATAATGATACACCATTCTATGGCCCCAACCTGTGGCCTGACCCTGGTTAATTTAATTATTCTTTCATATATCCTAGTTACCACTTTTTATCTGTTACTATAATGTTCTGTTCTTTACTAAACTTTGACGTTTATGGCAGATGTTTTGCCGGGATGGCGAGCGACCATGGAAAAATATCATCAAGAAGCACTGTAAGTCTCATGTTTGTTTCCATATCATTCTTAGAATAACAAAAATAACTGAGGCAAGACTAGCTCCTTGGCTCTAACTACGGCCATAGTAGTGTATCTGTGTTTTTTTAGTTATAAGACCGTACTTTAGTTTTATGATGTGAAAAGACTCACAGAGATTGTTTTTTCAAACTGTGTACTACTTATGATGATGAGACTTTCACATGATGCAGGAGGGTTTGTAAGGTTATTGCTAAATTATTGGCATTGGCGCTCGACTTGGATGTGAATTACTTTGATAAACCAGAAATACTGGGAAATCCCATCGCAGTTATGCGCTTAGTTCACTACGAAGGTGAGGCATTTTATGAAGCTTTTTGTATGTCCCTGCTGCTATACTTTTATCCCAAGTAATTGATTAGCTTCCTTCTTTTTATTTTTGTTATATGTTAGGGGTGTCTGATCCCTCGAAAGGAATATTTGCATGCGGGGCACATACTGATTTTGGAATGATGACTCTCTTAGCAACCGATAATGTAATGGGGCTTCAGGTAGAGCAACAAGTTTCACTAGTCATATAACATTTGGTGTGACCAGGTTTGGTTATGTTAAATCGCTTATGTATTGACCGCAGATATGCAAGGATAAGGAAGCTAAGCCTAGGAAGTGGGAATATGTACCATCTATTAAAGGGTAAAATGATGAGAATTTACAAGTTTTTGGATTCATGAATCCATAATAATAAAGTTATACTTTTATGTTTTTTTCCTCTACAGAGCATATATTGTGAATCTTGGTGACTTGCTAGAGCGTTGGAGCAACGGCATTTTTAAGTAATTTCGATTTGTTTGAGCTTACTCTTCATGATATTTTTTGTTCAACGTTCTAGCTAACATTTTTCTGATGTACATGCAGATCAACATTGCATCGGGTACTTGGGAATGGACAAGAACGATATTCGGTAAGTCTCTTATTTAGTAATACCTATCCCAAAGTCTATCCTTTTACAACAAAAATCAAGATAGCTTTTATGTGCGGTTATTGTGAAAAAAAAGTTTTTTAGCCATATGCTAAAGGTTATTATTGCGTTGAACATGTTTAAAATTGAGTTCGGGATGATCTATATAACATGGAAATGTGTCTAATGTGTTCTTGTCATAGATTCCATTCTTCGTAGAACCGAGTCACGACTGTCTAGTAGAATGTCTTCCTACTTGTCAGTCAGAAAACAACCTTCCCAAGTAAGGCTTTAACTTATGTACCTTGTTACATTGAGACCTTTGGACATGTAACAATGTAACGATTGCGTTTTAATGAACAGATATCCAGCTATCAAATGTTCAACGTACCTCACCCAACGTTACGAGCAGTCACATGTGGATTTGAGCATCTACAAACACACTTAAGTGGAGTTTATGGAAAAACAGACTTAAGTGCATGGGATGCACCACCGCCATATATGTATCATTAACGTTTGGATTTTGGTGTGTTTATCTTTTTATACGCATTTTGCATAAATTACTAAATAATAAAATTAATGTTTGAAAAATATTTGGGTATTTTGTAACTTAATAGAAAAAGACATTTGTTCACACCGAAAGCAATAAAGAAACACTCAACTTAAGCAAAAAAGATTAAATAAAGTACACTAAAAACTTATAGAATCGCAGCGGGTTATATATATAACAAATGAACTTTCAATAGTAATATTTATTTTTCTCTTTTTTTTTTGTGTTTGTACATTTATATTTTCTAATTCTTCATTTAAACTACTCCATCTTGCCATCATATATAATTAATAAATTTTAATATTTCTAGGTAGAAATTAATAAAAAAAAAATAGAGATCATTAAGGGACAGGGTAGTATATATAAGGCAGCACCAGAGGATAGGATAAGCTAGAAAGCAAAAACAAAAGCACATCCAAAGAAGAGAGTGATAGAGAGATGGAAAATAAAAGTGAGGAAGATGTCTCGATCATCAATGTTTCTTCTCTTTCTTTCATAGATTTCAACAACACTGATCTTCATCAGTCAGCTGTTTTGCTTAAGAATGTATATCTCTATCTATTCTTCTGTGAACAAAATTACATTATGACTAATTTATTTAAAATTCTTCTAAAAAGGTTGCATATAATGTAAAAACGTTTTTGTTTTATTCAACAAATTTTACATTCATTCAAGAAAAAAAAACAATAATAATAACTACGGTATATATGAGCATTATAACTTCTGTGAAAGAAAACATTGATTTAATCGTTATATACTTATGGGTTATTTTTGTTCTAGGCATGTCTGGATTGTGGATTTTTCTACGTCGTAAACCACGGTATAAGTGAGGAGTTGAAGGAAGAGGCTTTCGAGCAGAGCAAGAAGTTCTTTGCTCTTCCTTTGGAAGAGAAAATGAAAGTCTTGAGAAACGAAAAGTATCGAGGCTATGCACCGTTCCATGATTCTCTCTTAGATCCTAAGAACCAAGTTCGAGGTTCGTCTTTTTTTTCAGCTTTCATATGCACTTGCTTAGTCTAAAGACTCTAAACTTGTTGATGATGTAAATCGGAGTTCTTTTGTCACTTGTATGGGTATTTAGGGGATTACAAAGAGTGTTTTACCATTGGAATGGAAGGTCCCAAAGATGGTTTGCATGAGGATGGCCCCAACAATTGGCCTAACCCTAGTAAGCTTTTTATCTTATATATGACCTTTTTGTTATTTTAATGCTTTCTTATTTGAATAAAATTTTCTTACATTACTTTTTGGTAGATGTTTTGCCTGGATGGCAAGAGACAATGGAGAAATATTATCAAGAAGCATTGTAAGTTCTGTATCATGTTCTTTGTGTTTTCTTTAAATTTGTTTTTTTAAACAGGGAAATTAGGTGGGAAAACTTTGGTTTAATGGAACAACTTTTAAGAATTTAGGTAGTTAGAAATTAGTTGGAAAGATTGATTTTTTTAAAAAAGCCAATTTTTAAAATAACATTATGAATGATCAGGAGGGTTTGCAAGTCTATCGCAAGGATAATGGCTTTGGCGCTAGACTTGGATGAGGATTACTTTGATACACTAGAGATGCTTGGAAACCCAATTGCTGATATGTTCTTGGTTCACTATGAAGGTGATGCATTTTCTTAATCGCATAATTAGCTTCTGTATTTCAATAGTGTTATACTCATCATCTTCAATAATTTTGTTACCTTTTTAAGGCATGTCTGATCCCTCGAAAGGGATCTATGCATGTGGAGCACATTCTGATTTCGGAATGATGTCTCTCTTAGCAACTGATGGTGTAACGGGACTTCAGGTATTGAACATTATTTTCTAGTCTCATATAACTTCTGATGCTACTTGGTTAATTAGTTGTGGAACTTGCTATACTATCTAACTGCAGATATGCAGGCATAAAGATGTGAAGCCTGAAAAGTGGGAATATATACCGTCGATTAAAGGGTATGATAATATGATAATTATTGGTTTTTGGTTTGATGGTACTTTTTTAGTGCTAGCTACACTAAAACTCCCATATCATATTTTGTGTTTATTACGTTATATTGTTCTCTATTGATAGAGTTATATAATTTATGTTTTCATCTACGTACCTAGAGGGCCTATATTGTGAATATTGGTGATCTGCTTGAACGTTGGAGTAACGGCTATTTCAAGTAATTTTGTTGTTAGTTTGAGGTTAAATCTGTTCCTAAGGCTTCACAAAAAAACAATTTTACACATGCTTTCTAATTAAACTATACAGATCTACATTACATCGGGTACTGGGGAATGGTCTGGATAGATACTCTGTGAGTCTCTTGTTAAAGTAGAAGATTCTTTTGAACCACATGCATACAAAATGCCGTTGTTATATATCATTTTCTTATCGTAGATTCCATTATTCTTGAAACCAAGCCACGACTGTATTATAGAGTGTCTTCCTACTTGCCAGTCCGAGAACAACCTTCCCAAGTAAGTCTTGAACATGTTCACCTTGTTACGTACATAATTAAGACCTTTGATCATGTTCAGATGTTCTTAAAGATGTTTATGGTTTTGTTTACTGATGAATAGATGTCCAGCGATCAAATGTTCAACGTACATCTCCCAACGTTACAAAGCAGTACATGCGCATCTTAAAAAACCCTAGCTGAAGTTTCATGCAGACCACCCCCGGAAGCTTTGGTTCGTTTTCAAAAGTCTTTTGTGTTTGGTTCATATCTATTCAATGTGGAACTATATTGAACTTAGAATTCACTTTGCTACCATGAATAAAATAATCATACTCACGCATCTCTTCTGGCTTTCTTTTATTTGGTTCATGTTTATATATGTTTTACTCACTCGGCTTACTACATTATTTGTGTAGGCTGTGAATCCGATGTAACAATGATGTGTGATTTACTTCTTAAGCCCACTAACTTGACAAATGACAATACACGAGAGTATATGATAATTAACCAATAATGGTGGTCTATTAAGAGAAATAAAGCTCAAGAAATCAAAGTCAATCAAATTAATAACCAAATTATTGCGGATATTATTTAAACAATATCGTCTTTATCAATAGGCATATTAAAAAGTTGGATGGACCTGAATTAAAGCATTAGAAAAAGACTTCATCTACTCAAGATCATCAGTATTTCCTTCTTAGAAAAAAAAACAATAAAAATATTTTCTTTTAATAAAAGAAAAATTATATCCTTTCATGTACATTTATATTGTCTGTTTCTACATAAAACTTACTCTATCTTGTCATCACAATCTATAAAAAAAAAAAAAAAAAAAAATTATAGACTTGTTTCGTATACCATGGTTATAAATTTTAAAAACGAAGGAAAAATACTAGATGAAAGGATTTATGATTCTAAATTCTATTAAACAAACAAACATATAAAACAATATAAAGTTGAATCGAAAATATTTTACCCATATCGCCTTATCTATTATATGCTTGTTTTCAATAAGACTATAATGGACTCAGCTTTACGATGTGAAAATGAGTGTTGAGATTCTAGGCATTGGTAAAGACAATCTAAGAGCCTCGCGCGTTGGAGTGTCGTTTGAACTCTCCGATAAATCAGCTACGACACAGAGAATGGGATATACTTTTTAAAACGTGAGGTACGTAGTTCGTTGATAGTACATCTCCCTTTCTCCAGGTATCAAGCTTTAGATTTTTATGTATTTTAATGCATTTTCCAAATGAAAACTTAAAACGTGCAGCCTGAACAAGTGGTTGTGGATCGTACATTTAATAATGCAAGTAGACATTATCAGGGGACATGTTAGTACATATAAGGCAGTAGGCATCACCAGGAGATATGATAAGCTAGAAAGCAAAAAAAAAATACCCATCTCTTACCTATCCAAAGAAAGAAAGAGTGATAGAGAGAGATGGAGAATAAAAATGTGGAAGAGGTCTCGATCATCAATGTTTCTTCTCTTTCATGCATAGATCTAGACAACTCTGATCTTTATCAATCAGCTGTTTTGCTCAAGAAGGTATATCTCTATTTATTTTTTCTATAAAATTGCATATAATTAATGTATAAGAACTTTTTTGTTAAATAAAATTTACATTCATTTCAAAAAAAAAATAATAATAATCATTAAGGTATGAGCATTTTAAGTTCTGTGAAAGTAATTATTTGTTACTTATGGGTTGTTTTTGTTCTAGGCATGTCTGGATTGTGGATTTTTCTACGTCGTAAACCACGGTATAAGTGAGGAGTTGAAAGAAGAGGCTTTCGAGCAGAGCAAGAGGTTCTTCACTCTTCCGTTGGAAGAGAAAATGAAAGTTTTGAGAAACGAAAAGTATCGAGGCTATGCACCATTCCATGATTCTCTCTTAGATCCTAAAAACCAAGTTCGAGGTTCGTCTTTTTTTCAGCTTTCATATGCACTTGCTTATACTAAACTTATTGATTATGTATATTTCAGCTCTTGTTGTAACTTATATGTATTTCTAGGGGATTACA